TTAGTTCTTCAAGCTCGTTACAGTGCTTGTAGTTTACTTGTGAGATCGACACCGGAATGGAGAAGTTTCTGGGCAAATCAGCGACTGGCAAGTCAACAAATAAGGCTCGCGTCGAGTGTTGTCCGAGGATGGAGGAAAGCTGTCTTGCAAGCTCGTGTCAGGCAGTTGAGTTGACACGGTTGAAAACAGTCGCAATCGAGTAAGCTAGTTGTAGTACTGCGACTCACTAGTCTTCAGCGAAGCACACGTTCTGTTCTGTCATGCATGCTGCATACGAGTCATGCATGCTGCACACGAGTCATGCATGCTGCACACGAGTCATGCATGCTGCACACGAGTCATGCATGCTGCACACGAGTCATGCATGACTCTGCATGACTCGTACCGCACTAAAAGTACCAAAATTGGACACAATTTACACAATTTTATGACAATATTCCCGCAATTTGATTTACAAAATCCGCAATATTCCCCGCAATTTGTGGCATTTTACCTCGCGGATATTTCCGCCATATTTCCGAAATTTTGCAGCAAGTTTCGGGAGGGCCAGTAATCACCAGAGCGGCGACAATTCAATGAAGCCAGCCAGGCAGCTACGTCCAAGCAAAGTGCAACAAACCGACAGAGGTGAAACAAACCTGGGCTTGTGATCATGGTATGTGGACAGTGGAACTAACCCGGTCCCATAGATGCAGGGGTGGAGTGGAGCTGGATATGGCACGGCTGTCCCATATGGCTATGTGTGTGAGGCCATGGTAAAAAATAAAGTTGATTCTCAGGTCATGAGCCTGTGAAAATCGGTGCGAGCGAGCGATTTTTAATTTTATTTCCCACAATTTTTTTATTTCCAAAGATAAGGTCACACATACGTACATGTACATGGTCACATGTTTGTTATTCAGGCCAGGGAGTAGAAAAATACTGGTATTTTACTACTCCCTGATTCATGCCTTTCGCATTGACCGTTTTCATGCGCGCATAGAAATTAAAAAAATCGTCGGTGCGCCGCCAAAAATCGGTGCGCGCGTACTTGAGAATCAAAGATAATTCTTACTATGGCCTGATAGATGTGTAACAACTCCACAGAGTGAAACCCAACAGTATGTCGCAATAGACGGGTTGCCAAAGTCGCCTTCAGGGGATCCGTTCCCCGAGGTGGCTCTGGAGAACACGAAGCTTGGAATCGATTTTTCGGGGCAGAGCGACAAATAATTGGTTGCTTTTTGCTTTTTACCTTTTGACTCGACGTGTGTTTCCTTCCCTTTGGTCCAGTTACTCTAATTTCAGAAATTTTCGGTGCTCAATATTTTCGGTATGAGGGCAACAGGCTAGGTTAGGTGAACAGAAATTTTCGGTACAGAGAAGCAGTTCCCTATTGGATTATGTGTGTTAGGGAGCATCTCATAAGTTCGCATTTTGTTTCTGTACGTAACGCATTTCGAAACGGGGGTAGGGGGGTAGCGCCCTTTTCGAATAGAAAAATGACTGTTCGCACATTTTCTGGAACTGTACAATCTACAGTCTGTACTACCGTGCTAGATCCCTGCAGCAAATGAGTGGTGGAGATCTACCTGTGTTTGCAGATCAGCTAACCCTTGCACTGCATGCATGCAGGCTACTCAGAGGTGTCAAATGTCACACCAGCCTGATCAAACCGTGTACATGTACCTGGCCAGCGTTTACAGCAGTACAGTTGTTGTGGAGGAACTATGTTTATGTGCGTGTACATGTCATTGATTGTACTTGTACTCAGTAAACGTGGTACTGCCATTCACGACCGCTCTAGCAAAACATTCATATCCATGTACATGTACATGTACAATCATGTACATAAGTATACCATAGCATGGGGCATGCCGGACGTGTACAGTAGATAAACACAGAAAATGTGCGATAAGACTTTCGAATAGAGGGGGGAGGTAGGGGGGTAAAGTCTATTCGAAATGCGTTACGTTTGCAAAATAAATGCGAACTTATGAGATGCTCCCTTAGTGTTTGTTCGGTGTATTGAAATTTTAGGTGTGAAACAGACGCACCGAAAGTACCGAAAATAAAAGTACTCCGAAAATTTGTGAAATTACAGTATTTGTAGCACCCGGGATGGGTCAGAATGATCACTGTTGTGCTGGGGGTTGCTCGACAAGGAGAGTGAAAAAGGAAAGAAGATCGAGTTTCATTTTCTCTCTCGTCAGCCGACGGTGCGAGCCATTTGGCTCACAAGAATCAGTAGAAAAGATCTGGTGCCATCCAAGGACACTTGCTTGTGCTGCAAGTACCAACCATATCCGGTATATTTCTCTCACAAGTTGTATCCTTTGTGTAGGAAGGCTCCAGAAAAGAGACCGTTGAGAGTCTGATGACACTCTGCACTGCTATACTGGCCTGCCTTCTGTTAAGGTATTTCACTCTCTGTTGGATTTAATATTGCCTCGCCTCAACCAGAAAGTGAGATCTGGACGTCCATGCCAGCTGCAGCCCGCCGATGAATTTCTTCTTGTGCTGATGTGCCTTCGGCTTGCAGATAGAAGACCTTCAGCGCCGTTTCAGGCTGAAGGAGAAGTCCCGGCAAGTAAGATTATAAAGAAATGGATTCCACTTCTGGCTTGCACATTCAATCCCCTGCTCGTGTGGCCGTCCCGAAGGCGTGTGCTGCAGTGCATGCCAGCTGCTTTCAAGGTGCAGCAGGCATACACGAATGTACGCATTCTTCTGGACTGTGCAGAGTTCGAGATGGAGTCACCATCGTCTCTGTCTCTGAACACCATGACCTACTCCAGCTACAAAGGCAGAAACACAGTGAAGGTGCTTTTCGGCGTCACCCCAGATGGCTTCGTCACCTTTGTTTCACGAGCATATCCCGGCTCAATATCCGACAACTCCATTACGGTAACGTCAGGAATTCTTGACATGCTCAGTCCAGGAGATGATATCATGGCTCTGACAAAGGCTTCACTTTGTCCAATTCGGAGCTTCAGCCCTGTGGGCTAAGAGTTGTTGCGCCACCGTTTCGTTGTGGAGCCGTGCAATTCTCAACACAGATCCATGCGACTGTCCACACTACCGTCGCTGCTACTACAAGTCCTACTCTATTCCTACACAACTACTACACTGCTGGCAACTGACATCCGACCCCTGACTGGCCTGAGCGGTGCGCTCACATCGCAAAGACCCAACACGGTATTGTAAAACTACGAAGCAGAGACCGCTAGAATGTGAACGCACCGCTAAGGGGTCGGATTTAAGTTGCCAGCACTGGAGAAGTCGGCAGCAACAAACAACTACCAATACACCAAAAGTAAGGAAATGCACGTCATGTCACAAGGTACAAACAAAAACACACAGATCAATCCATTTGTCTCTCTGCCCCGAAAAATCCATTCCGAGCTCCGCGGTCTCCAGGGCCATCTCGGGTACGGATTCCCGGAGGCTACTTTCACAACCCGTGACGTATAATGCTTGCGGCTGTCTTACCTCGTTGACGCTAGCACCACGTGTGATCAAGAAGTCGGCCGCGTACTGGTCACCTCGACGTATGGCGGAGTGTAGTAGACATTCACCTCCAGCCTGCCGGAACACACACACAAACACACATACATACACACACACATACATACACACACATACACACACACACACATACACACACGCGCATGCACACATGCACACACACATGCACACACACATACACACACATACATACATACACACACACGCACACACACACACACACTTTAGTTTAGGTGATATTTCTAAGATACAATTTTCTTCTCCCACCACACCATGCTACAGGTACAATCATCTCATACTGATACTGTGTATAGCTACACCACAGCTTTGAATCCTATCAGTCTCTCATAGAGTTTGAAATTACATGTATTGCCTGTTGACATCCTCAAAGCTTACTTGCCATGAAAAAAACTTCCGCTTCAACGACAATAAATCAAAACAAATCCAGGCCATCACATGATTAGACTCGGATGGAGAGCCAATGACTAATTTTTAGTAAAGAAAAGGACCAAGGAACTATTCAAGTTACGCTATAATGTCCCCTAACACCAACGGTGTCATGCAATGTTATCGCATGAGCTGATTGACCAGTGCTGTACTGTACATATAACTGGTGACGCCTCATTTTCTCTGTGCTGCGCTGATGAGTACACAAAGGACAAAACAGTTCTGTCCGCAGATCGAGTAACTGGTGGTGTCAGTGGACATCATAGAGTAATGTGTACTTGCTCATTGACCCAGCTCGTTCCTCATTCTCCCTTCCATTTGGCCGAAGCGAAAACTAGCCAAGCTCAGTTGCTGCTTAGTGATGTCAAAGCGAAAGGGCTGTTAATAACAATAATCGTACTTCCTTGGTCCTTTTCTTTCCTGAAAACCAACTGCTTACCTTGTCATTCGGCATATCCAGGTTACAGCCGTGACTGACGAGTGTTTCAGCTATGCTGTGACAGCGCACACGTAGAGCAAGCTCAATAGGTAGTGAGTCAGCCTCGTTGCGCTCGTTTAGCTTGGCCGACAACTGCACGGTAGGGGGGGGGGGGGAGGGGGAACACACGGTGAGCGTAACACACACGCAGACAGACATGTGCGCAGACACACACATACACACAACATAAAGACACACGGGTACACACACACGCACACACACAATAAGAGAATACTACAGTTGCAGCAAAGAGAAATTTGACCACTTTCTTCCCACATACGTCCTACATGACAGTCTGCAGAAAATCTTCATGAATAAAGGAGAGAGAGAGAGAAAGAGAGAGAGAGAGAGAGAGAGAGAGAGAGAGAGAGAGAGAGAGAGAGAGAGAGAGAGAGAGAGAGAGAGAGAGAGAGAGAGAGAGAGAGAGAGAGAGAGAGAGAGAGAGAGAGAGAGAGAGAGAGAGAGAGAGAGAGAGAGAGAGAGAGAGAGAGAGAGAGAGAGAGAGAGAGAGAGAGAGAGAGAGAGAGAGAGAGAGAGAGAGAGAGAGAGAGAGAGAGAGAGAGAGAGAGAGAGAGAGAGAGAGAGAGAGAGAGAGAGAGAGAGAGAGAGAGAGAGAGAGAGAGGGAGAGAAAGAGAGAGAGAGAGAGAGAGAGAGAGAGAGAGAGAGAGAGAGAGAGAGAGACATTCAGCAGCATTGCACTCACCTCACTGTCGTACTCAATGAGATAGAGAAATACAATGTCCTCACGCTGATGTTGGATTGCCAGATGCAGTGGACAGTGTGTCTTGTCTTTGAACATTTCGTACAGTAGCTGTGCACTCATGTCCGCAAAGCATGCCGTGTCTAACTCATCCTGCAGAGCGCCCGCCGCGCGTTGTCAATGACAACAAGGCATGAATGCAGTCCCGATACACACACACACGCACGCGCACGCACTCTCACACACACACACACATGCACGCACGCTCTCTCTCTCACACACACACACACACACACACACACACACACGCACGCACACACACACACGCACGCACATACACGCACACACACACAGTATCACATGAGCGGTGGCAGTGGCAACGAGGAATGGGCAGTTCGATCGCCCAGCAGAGATGGCACTGATGGTGTATAATACAGTACAGGGAGAACGGATGGCTTGATACTTAGTTGATAGTCCTTGCTTCAATGTCCATGAACAACTAAGAGTACAATACTTCCATGTGGGGTGATACTAGTACTTCAGACTACTGCTACTGTAAAAGCAGAAATTTTCAGTGGCGTTTTATTTTCGGTAACTTCGGTGCCGACAAATTTTACCGAAAATAAAACGCACCGAAAATTTCGGTACTACCGGTACTGTATACATTTAGTACTAGTAAACTTACCTGGAAAACGGGTTTTACCGAAAATTTCCCTCCACCAAACAACCGATTTTGGAGAATACCGAAAATATTACACCACTGAAAATTTCTGCTTCTACAGTAGTACACTGTTGGTACTGTTGATACACGCATACACACATACACCACACGGTCACGCAATCACACCACTACAGCTACCACTCCTGAGATAGTGCAACTGATGATAGTGATGTCCTACTGTTGCGCACGTACTGTACTATCTCTATCATAAACACAGGGCCTATCTGTAGCAGCAGCAGCAGCAGCAGCAGCAGCAGCAGTGGCATCGCCAGCAGCAGCAGCAGCATCAGCAGCAGCAGTGGCATCGCCTGCAGCAGCAGCACCACCACCAAGGGCTTACCCAATGGTTGGTGATCATTTCCAGACAGTACTTGCGTAGGTCCTTGGCATTGGTATCATTGGCCACCTGAAACAGTCGGACGCAGTTCTTTACAGTTACCATGGATACCAGGCCATTCTCACACCTGCAGCATAGTGAAGAAAATACACAACGTGTATGTTAGCACTACACTGCTAGCGGCTAGTCCACAGTTGCCTTACATGGACACACACTCGTACAGTCAGTATCGCCAAGAGTACATAAACCAGAGTGTGCAACTCCTAAAACAGGACGTCTAAAATCATGCAAAATTGGCTGATTTCCGGGCTGTGAAACACGAAAATTTGAGCTGTACACAAGTCCCGGCTTGGCTGACCTCATCAAGGTGACGTAGTGCACGAGCTGCGCTGTTTCAGATCTGATATGCACAGTTGCACACTCTGGTTTATGTACTCTTGGTATCGCCTATAGCGTTGGTGTTTGATTTTGATCATTTTATCACTATAGGCGATATATTACTACGACCGATGCTGCATGCAATGAATGAGCGCGGGGTGTCAAACGACTCAGCGCGCCGCGACTTGCTCACTGCCAAAAATGGGCACACATCCAGACACGGACATGCGCGCACACACACGCACGCACGCACGCACGCACACACACGCACGCACGCACACACGTACCGGTATGCTAAAAGTGTAAAGTAACTATGTTTTTAAAACTATTCGAAAAGTTGAAGCAAACATGATGAAAACGAGGAATTTACCAATTAACTCACTTGTTCAGTAGCGACGTAAGCCTGTATTTGGCGGCTGCCGTCAACAATTGGAGAACAAAATCGATACGCGGCGGCAGTTCCAAGCGATCGGTGTACACCCATCGCATTAGGGCGTATCCCACCTCGTAGCTGACCTCCTTCAGCTCAAACTCAGTGATCTCGGCCAGCGGCTGGTCACCCCAGAGCTCCACGCCACCGCGAGCGGCCAGCACGATGCGGTGTGCGTGAAGCTTACGGCCGTCCAAGTTCACTGTGATGTCACTGGAAGCGTGTGAAAGAACAAGAAGACAGTAAAGAAGACACTAAACACAAAATCGGCTGACAGTGATATCACTGGATGTGTGTGAGACAAAGAAGAATAAGAGAAAAGAACACAAGGCAACAAACAGGGCTGGTCGAGGCAGCTCGAAGCAGAGTGCTCGATGCACAAATGCACGGATAAATTGCCCACGTCCGGATTCCCCCCAGATCCAGGTGCACATACGCGCAGAGCAGTATACTGTCAGACCTCGCTTAACCGCACACATCCGTTTTCCACGAAAATGTCCGGATAGACGAGGGAACCGGATAATCGAACACTGATTATGTCGGATGCATCACGCATGCTGTAGATCTGTAACCAGCTATTTTCTTCCGGGTGGCGAGGGATCCGGAAAAAAGCGGACCGGATAAGCAAGGTCTGAGTGTAGTCACTGTACACAAACAACAGACACCGACGGCCGTCTAGCTGTAACTTCATGTTTCAGGCATTTCAGCCATCACCAGACAGCGGTATTTACAGCCTTTCGGGTCCGTTGGTAGTGTAAAACACAAGGTAGTGTAGCCGCCCGCATGAGATGTCAATAGTTATTCTAAGTCTCTTGCTGGGCAAGAATGCATTGTCAGATAGACTACTACGACAAACAAACACGCTAGAAAAGAATATCGGTTTCAACTTCATGAGAAAGAAAACTTAAAGCGGCTTAGGGCAGAAGGGTGCCTAGATCTCAGAACTGCACGGATGGAAAGCAATATAAATGTGGTGCTCTTCAGGCACAATCTTCCTCCGCCTACTCAAGCTCGACTGATGAGGGGCGAGTGCTACCCATACACATGTATTAGCATATGGAAGACAGACAGGTAATCGCATGCACATTTAGTGGGATTTCGTAGTAGCAGAACCTGTGACAACACGTGATGATGATGTGAAAACACGTGCTCTGTCACCGGACCCGGACTGTTCAACAAGGTCGAGAACAAACACAACACAAATACAGTGGTCCCTCTATAATCCGGCACCATTTGTGCCGCGGAAAATCTGCTGGATTAGGGAGGGTGCTGGATTAACAAATCGGATTTTCTGCTAGAACATGCATGAAGAGGACATTTTGGCTACTGAAAATTGTGCTGGTTTATCGAGGGTGCTGGATTATAAAGTGCTGGATTAGAGAGGGACGACACAAATACACAGCAAGAAATGCTGCACAACCTTGCATCCACCATCGGTGGCCGTACGGGCAATAATCAACACAGTACTGTGAGGCGCCGAAGAACTGGGAGGTCAGCCTTGTAGCCTAGACCGTTCTTATTGTCATGGACTACAGTCAATTCACGGTCCAGTCACCGTGTATACATTGGCATGATGTGCTTGGTGGAATTCTAGCCTGTCCGTTCTTCGGCGCTCCGTTCTTCGACGCCCGGCAGTAATGTAGCGTGGATAAGCACTGTCTACTTATTGACTTACCTGAAGTGCTCGCGATCAAAGAGCTCCTCGATGGTGTGCATAAGGCGCGTGACGTAATGATCCGTGCCGAGGTGCCCGGCCGCTGACGCCACTATGCTATACTTCTGCTCCAGCTCGGCATGTTTCTGCTGCAGCTTAACATACTCCTGTCGCAGCAGAGTCAGGTGACGCTGAGCCTTGGCCGCCTCACCACCGCCGAACCCTGCACACAAGACCAGCAGCAACAACAGCCGCAGCAGCAGCAGCCGCAGCAGCAGCGCAAACACACACACACACACACACACACACACGCACGCACACACACACACACGAGCGGGCAAATTCGCACGCATCAATTAGTGACTGCATTCAGCCAATTCTCTCTTAGAAAACTCGCGCCGGGTTAAATTTTCGCCCTTCAAATTGGTTTCCTAAACACATCTTGGCATTTGAGTTTTAACACATCAATGAGCACGCGTGAACACCTGCCGCTCCATACAGGTATCGCAAGGATCACACAGTCACGAACCAGCTCAGACATTGTGTAGTTTAAGCAGTGCTCGACAAGCCAAATACTACGGTACTAGTGACCGTGTGCATCCACAATGCAAACATCTCAGCAGTCTACAACGTCATCACATGCACTCATGAATGACGTGTGTGACAACACACCTGCAAATGCACGTGTTTATTACTTCGAATTCATAATACAGTGTAATGAGCGTACTTCAGAAATCTAACTTGTCAGAGGCAAACTGCTTACTCCAAACACTTGAAAACAAGATCAAAAGTAAGTATTTCATGCGATCGGGATTCAAATTCCGAGGTAAGTCGAGATTCTTATGATCATTTTAAAATTATCAAGTTCAACAAATTGCTCTATTGTGAGAGTAAGACGTGTACTGCTTCGTCCTTATAATGGTATTGCAAACAAAATTAGTTATCCCAGACTGTACCTTCGGCTGCCATCGACCCTGAAATAGGCCCGCACAGGGCCTATCCGTTCGTACCCAAGAGTCGCCACTCAGCTTCGCAGTGCACAAAGCACCGCTCCAGTGATAGTGCCTTATGTAATTAGTAACTGTTATGATCGCTCACCGAACCAGAACCTCAAGAAAAATACGATCATGTGTAGATCTGTAATCTAGCATCTTTCCAAACACTTCAAACAGCAACATTCAGCCATGCGGCGATCAAGACTGGACTCACCTTCAAAAAAGCACTTTGTACTTCTGTAAATCGCCCCGAATTCGGTCGAAAAGGCGTATAGCTCGAACAATCCCATGATCACGTGAATGAAAACGGGGTTGAACACTCGCAAAACAGAGCGAAGTCTGCGAAAATACTGATGTTCAGAGGAACCGCGCGAAAAAATGTCCCACTCAAAATAATTCAAAGTTGTCAAAATTAGAACGGCTGCTTGTTATTGGCAAATGGTCCTATTTTAGTATTTCGCAGGCTGTGCATCTTTGTCGATAACGTAATCTTAGCAGTAAACGGTAATCTGGTTGAAGAGTAGCAGTGAGAGACCATGAGCCAGCCGGAATCTTCTCAAGATGGCAGTCAAAAGGACGAGGAATACATCTTCGTGGCGAAAATGGACAACGCCAAAAACTTGTCCAACATTCTGAAGGCCGTGCATTTCAAGGAGGTCAGTTGAGCGTCGCATAGCCTCGTTGTTTTCATTGTTAGAAATGAGGGGACCAACTTGAATCATACGCTGCGCGAGGCGTCCTTTAGAATTTTGAGAAAGCCAAGAATGATGCATATCTGCTGCTGTACAAACTACGGTGTTTCAATCAGGGAGTAGTACAATATTGTACTACTCCCTGGTTTCAATCCGACGTCGACGAACATGGCACATGGGTAGTACATTTACCAATGTGCTTCTGCATACAGTGCAATGAGCTGCATTTGCAACAGTTGTCCCCATTGCCAGAAGCTCCCAGTTCCACTCAGCATAGTCAAGGCTACCCCAGGCTTATTCCCATTATTCCCAATCCCACGCTTGCTCAGTTGCTATAGGATGAATTTATAGCCAACACACACACACACACACACACACACACACACACACACACACACACACACACACACACACACACACACACACACACATGCACACACCTTGACCTTGATTTTTGCCCATTGCTTACGCAATGATAGTGAATGTCGGAAAGTTCAAGTGAGAACACGAGCGCAGAATTTGGCATGCCGTTTCAGGTCTCCTGGTTGACGAAACGGACATCCACAGACACAGAGAAGAGGATCAGGAGCGGGCCGTGGCGGTAGAGTGCTGCTTGCAACCCATCTCCAGCCGGGACGATCTTGGCAACTCTCAAGCCAGGTGGTCACGCCGAGGTCCGCCAGGTCAGTCGACACCACATCTCGCCACCTCTTCTTCGGGCCGTGACGAGGACGGGGGGCAGGCAGCTCGCCAAACAGCAATTGCTTCGGTGCGCGTGAGTCGTCCATCCTGCCGACGTGACCCAGCCAACGAAGACGGTGGCGACGGATGATGCTGGTGATGTCAGGGTCAACACCGAGTGTAGCCGCTAATGTGGCCGTTGTGATCCAGTCATCCCACTGTTAACGACGGCTAATACCCATGATGGACCGAACACACTGATGCTGGAACGTGTTGAGCTTCTGGAGGTGGCCTGCCTTTGGGGTCCACGTCTCCGCACCTTACAAGAGGGCCACGAGGATGACAGCCTCATACACACGCCTCTTGCTGCGAAGCGACAGGGCCTTGTTGTAAAAAAACGGGAGTTTGAGGGCTCCGAACACAGCTGAGGCTTTCGCAAGGCGAGAGCAGACATCAGCACAGGCCAGACCATCCGAGGAGAGCACACTGCCAAGGTACTTGTAGGTGAATTGGTCACCACTTCAATCGTGTCTACCCCGACAACAACGTCACGGCGATCAGCAGACTCACCCACAGCCATACTTTTGGTCTTTCTGACACTGACTGTTAGGCCCCCAGCTGCTTGCACAGGTGATGAAGCTCGATGGCATTGCTTCAAAGGTAGGCCGAGATGTTGTGTGGAGTGCAACGTTGTCAACAAACTGTGATTCTGTGATCTTTGATGACAGGAGCTTGCCCTTCGCCGTTCAGTCACCAACTAGCTTCTTCCCGACTTTATAATGAAAGGATATGCCAGCATCCGGACAACTGGACCTCCAACTGGCAACGACAGCAGAGAAGTACAAATTGAAAAGCATTGGTGCTAGAGTCCAGCTCTGACGCAATCCATTTCTCACAGTTATCGGGACAGTCACCTTGCCATCCACCCGAACAGAAGCTGTCATGCCGTTGTGGCACTCACACACACCTTTGGGCCTTTGGATGCCCATTGCTCCGTGCAATGATAGCATCAGGAGTTGCAGTATTTCCTGTGGCGAGTTAGATCGTTGGGCCGACGGAAGTCCCTGCCACAGCCGCAAATGAACACTCTAGGCTTTGGGACATCCGGCCGGGGACGATTGCACATGAGGCGCCAGTCTCGTCTGTCCTCCGCCAAGTCGCACCAGTCACCTGTCGCGCACCGAGCACTCAGATTAGCAGCGACGATGTCCCTCCAACGTTCAACACACACACACACACACACACACACACACACATACACACACACACACACACACACACACACACAACAGTGGAACGGGAACTAGAAATTCATCATCAAAGATCATGTTCCTAACAATTGAGCTGCAGTAAAACCTGTCTAAGGCGACTAATCCACTGGAGCCGCACAATGCAGTCCACCTGCTTGCCTCAGCACCATTATCTACGTACAATAAGATCGGGCGCCGATGAACACTTAGGCTGGAAAATGGCCCAGATTTAAGAGCGATTCAGGCTAGACTTACAAATTTTGAAATTTATGAACGAACGCATGTGCCATTTCTACTTGTTTTCCACGCGGTGTGATCGCATCGTACATATCGTACGATGCTCTCCATGAATAAGAACAAAACGACTAACAGTTCAGCATTTTAGAACAATCCTAGGCTGCGCTCTGAGCCCCTGCGTTCTTCAGAGCGCAGGTCTTACTCTACATGCATATCGTTCTCCTCCATCTCCATCTCCTTACTGTCAGCAATGACATGCAACATGGGGCTGCTTAGAATGAGGCTGTGACGTAGAGAGACAGTCCTAAATAGTATGTGTACGTGAGAGCAGGCTGTGTATCATTGCTTCATCGATTTCCGTAAGGCCTTTGATAGGGTTTGGCACAAAGCGCTATTCAAGATTATGAGAGCGCATGGCATCAAAGCAAGAATTGTGGACCTGATTGAAGCGCTTTACGCTACTACTGAAGCTGCCATCGTTGTTGGATCCACTATCACCGACTGGTTCACCACGTCAGTGGGTGTCAGGCAGGGCTGTTTACTCTCGCCTTGTCTGTTCAACGTATTCCTGGAGTACATCATGTCTGATGCTTTGGAGGAGTTTGATGGGTCAGTATGTATCGGCGGCATGTGCGTGACCAACCTACGTTTTGCGGATGATATAGATCTAATCGCATCGTCTGTGGAAGAGCTGATGGACCTGACGAGCGCGTGGATACGAGTGCAACAAGACTAGGCATGCAGATCAATGCTTCCAAGACCAAGTCAATGGCAGCGCCGGAGGGCGGTGGTGATCTGGGGTGCATTCAAGTAGGCAATGAGCGAATAGAAGAGGTATCCCAGTTTAAATACTTAGGTGCCGTAATCACGTCGGATGGCAAGTCCGATGTGGAGATAAGAAGACGCTTAGCACTAGGGAAGCAAAAGATCATTGAGCTTCAATTCATTTGGAAATCGCCATCACTTTCTTTGCCTACTAAATTTCGTTTTGTTAGGTCTATTGTGCTAGCGACTGTTTTATACGGATGCCAATCTTGGACATTATCTGCCTCATCAATGAGAAGAATTTCATCCTTCGAGATGAAATGCTTCCGCCGACTCTTAGGAGTAACATACCACGACCGGCGTACCAACCAATCTATCCTGGAAGAAATCAATGACATCATCGGAGCAAGGATGCGGCTAGCGAACGAAGTCAAGAAATTTAAGTTGATGTGGTTTGGCCATGTTGCGAGACATGACGTTTTCTCCAAGCCCTTCCTGCAAGGATCAACTCCTGGATCTCGACCGAGAGGAAGGCCCGCGACATCATGGATTTCTAACATTAAAAGTTGGACGGGTCTTCCCTTGCATGCTCTCTCTCATGCAGCACACGATAGAGTTGGATTCAGAGACATCATTCACAATTCTCTCGCTGATTAATGCCTCTACGATCACCTTGTGATTATGAGTTATACATACATACATACATACATACATACATACATACATACATATGTGAGAGAGATAGTGCTAGGTGAGACATGGTCCTAAATGTATGTGTGTGTGTGTGCGTGTGTGTGTGTATGTGTATGTGTGTATGTGTGTGAGAGTGAGAGAAGTACACTGAAGCCTGTCTAAGGCGACCACTCAAGGGACCTTCAAAACGTGTTCTCCGTGTACAGGTGGTCTCCTTGTGCAGGGTCATTTGACTGAAATTGACAATCCTTCGTCCTGGTGGTAGTGGTCCCCTTAGACAGGTGGTCGCCTCATCCGAGTGGTCGCCTTGACAGGTTTTACTGTACTTCGAAGTAGTGCTAAGCTAGCAGCTGAAGAGGTGAGAGTGTGTGGGTGTGGGTGTGAGAGAGAGTGAGAGAGAAGTATCGCTCAAACGGAAGATAAGAGGTGAGAGATCATCCTAAAATTAAAATGTGTGTGTGTGTGTGTGTGTGTGTGTGTGTGTGTGTGTGTGTGTGTGTGTGTGTGTGTATGTGAAATAGTGGTCATAAGATACCGGTATTTTACGACTCCCTGCTTCGCGCTGCTCTCCCGCACCCAGTTTTGTTCTGATAAAGCTGTGGCCATTGTGAATGGTGTGTGATCTGAGTCTTTTTGACTGGGTACACTGAAACCTGTCATGGCGACCACTCGGATAAGGCGGCCACCTGTCCCAGAAGACCACTGCAACAACGACCAAGGGATGCTTTTCCCAGTCAAATGGCCCTGGATAAGAAGACCACCTGGTAACAGAGACCAAATTTTGATGGTCCCTTGAGCGGTCGTCTTACAGTGCGTTTCAAAAATATAGACGCGTGATTTCAAAAAACCGCTAGGCCAGCATCTATACCACATAAAATCTGTGATAACTTTGAGCATAAAATTTCGAAATTGGGCGTTTGCTATCCGATCGCTTAAAAACCTATATGAGAGTAATTGGGGAAAGGACCTGAGCAACATTCGGGAAAAAATTCTCGGGAACCTCCAGCCAAATTTGAAATATTTCAAAAATACAGTGCGTGTATATTTTTGAAATGGACTGTAGACAAGTTTCACTGTAGTTGACAAAGCAAGCACTCTAGGGTCTAGGTGTGGTATTGAACAATTCCAATTGTGCTGTTCGCCAACCTTTGTTGTTTGTATTTTGTTGGCGTACCGCTGTGGTGGTGGGTGGGTGTTGGTGTGGGCGCGTGTATGCATGCGTTCTGCAGATGGCGACGTGTTTCCTCAGTGGCAATGGTCTGAAGGTGACGGTGGAGGATTGCAAGTGTGTGCAGGCCAATGCCTTTGTGCAGTCCGGCGTTTTCCAAGAGTTCTCCTTCAGCAAGGACAGTGCTACGTTCAAGATCAACCTGAACGTCTTCATGGTAAGCAGCACAGGAGTTATCTGCCGGCGCTGATGATATTGCTGCTGGTGGTGCTGGTGGCGGCGGCGGCGGTAGTGGTGCTGGTGGTGGTGGTGGTGCTGGTGCTGGTGCTGGTGGTGGTGGTGGTGGTGGCGGCGGTGGTGGCGGCGGTGGTGTTGGTGGCGGCGGTGGTGGTGATGGCCTGCAACTGCTGCTGCTGCTACTCAAAATCCTTTATTGGAAAGAACACGAAGGGCGAATAGTAAAAGGTGCAAAGAAAGGCAATGTAGAAAAGAAATCCAAAGCAATAATCAAGCTGCTGCTGCTGCTCCGCTGGAATAAAATAAACTGCCAATAGGTCATCCACTGGACATCATCAGGTCACCAGTGATGTTGTTGTCGCACTCATAATCTTTGGAGTTTTGACACTTGGTCATGCTGTTGCTGTTGTTGCTGTTGTTGCTGTTGTTGGTGGTGGTAGGGGTGTTGGTACTATTGTGTTGGTACTATTGTGTTGGTACTATTGTGTTGGTACTATTGTTTTTGCTGCTTTTGTTTTCACCAGGACTGCTTGAACATATTTGCTGGCAACACCCCTGGCAGTCCAACTGCTCTGCGAATGTGCTATGGTGGTTATGGGTGCCCGCTGATATTGCTGTAAGTTAGGCGGTGAGGATGGTACCCCCAGTGGTGATGACTGCAAGCCATGCACTCACACATTGTGTGCACCCCGAGCCAAGCAACCCTTGATATTGGGCACCTGTACACCCATGCTCCATCGGCCGCCACATCCGCTTTCAAGCTCATGGTGCGGTTCTCGAGCGCGAACTTCACTGGCTGGCGCTCTGTAATGTGGTAACACATGTGTGTATGTGTGTGTGTGTGTGTGTGTGTGTGTGTGTGTGTGTGTGTGTGTGTGTGTGTGTGTGTGTGCGTGTATGTTTGTATGTGTGTGTGTGCGTGTATGTTTGTATGTGTATGTGTGTGTGTATGTGTGTGTGTGCGTGTGTGTGTATGTGTGTATATGTGTGTGTGTGTGTGTGTGTGTGTGTGTGTATGTGTGTGTGTGTGTGTGTGTGTGTGTGTGTGTGTGTACATGTGTGTGTGTGTGTGTGTGTGTGTGTGTGTGTGTGTGTGTGTACATGTGTGTGTGTGTGTGTGTGTGTGTGTGTGTGTGTGTGTGTACATGTGTGTGTGTGTGTGTGTGTGTGTGTGTGTGTGTGTGTGTGTGTGTGTGTGTGTGTGTGTGTGTGTGTGTGTGTGTGTGTGTGTGTGCTGGAGTGTGTGTGTGTGTGTGTGTGTGTGTGTGTGTGTGTGTGGTGCTCAGCGTGGAGAAGGAGTCGCTGTTGTCCTTCGAGGGCGAGGTGCTGATGCATGGGATGCAGGAGGTCGACAGTGGACGGCTAAGTCGTCGCGTTTAGTGTCAGCTCGTCTTCGTTTCGTACATAGTCCAACTAAATGTTCGTGGATGACAGTCATAGTGTGTTATGCACCGACGTTCCGTTCTGCTCGTTCAGTGAAGAGTGAATTTTTCAATGATTTGGAGGATTTGCTCTGCACTGTACACCCTACTGATGATCTAGTACTACTTGGTGACTTCAATGCTCGGGTAGGATCAGCTCTATGCCCTGCACCTGATGATCCCTGGTCAGCTGTTCGTGGTCCGCATGGCTCTGGACTACTAAACGAGGCTGGTAGAGAACTGTTGTCATTTCTTGCTATGCATAACCTGGTCATCACCAACTCATGGTTCAAAAAGCGCGGCATTCACCAGCAAACTTGGCAACACCCCCGTACAAAAACATGGCATTGTATTGACTATGTAATTGTGCGACGACGTCAGCTTTCAAACTGCAGAGATTGTCATGTCATCCGCAGCGCTGAGTGTTCAACTGACCATCGCTTGGTTTGTCTAGCGTACATGCTAAGTCTCGGTGTGTCCAGGCGCCGTAGACCCGCTAACAAGAAGACTGCTGGTCGGTATAATGTTAGCGCGATGACCAAGGTGCCGGGTGCTGATGCCACTGATCATGAAGTTGCTGATTGTTTGCGTGCAGAATACGCTGCTAATGTTGCCACTGGTCTTGACGGATGGGCAGACTGCAGTGCTGTGGAGGACCAGTGGGTGAAGTTGAAGTGTGCCGTCACTGAAGCTGCCGATGCTACTCTTGGCCGGCAAGGTCGTCGACAGCCAGACTGGTTTGCTGCAAATGCAGGGCATCTTGATACTCTACTCACACGCCGGAACAAGTTATACAGCAAGTGGTTGCAGTCAAAGACTCACGTCGATCTGTGTGCGTTCAAAATGGCCCGCGGCCATGCTCGGGCTGCAGTGCGTGCCGCGAAGCGAAAGTGGCTGCAGTCACAGGCTGACCTGGCTCAGCATGGGCGTTTCAGTGGGCAGAAAGTTTGGTCAGCAATCTCAGCCATGAAGAAGTGCTACGACGGTCTGCAGCCTGTTCCATGTCGCAGCATGCGGAAGAGTGATGGGAATGTGTGCAGCTCTCTTGATGAGGAACGCGATTGCTGGCAACACCATTTTCAATGTTTGCTGAACGTACCAAGTTCATTCAACCCTGCAATATTTGACTCAATCACGCAGCGTGACATCGATCGCTCATTGTGGCAACCGTCACCAACATCGGCAGAACTTGTTGTGGCATTGCGGCACATGGCTAACGGCAAAGCGGCTGGAGGTTCCGGAATTGTTGCTGAGTTGCTTAAAGCTGCGTTCGGCACCATATGCCCCTATCTCATCGACCTGTTGAACTCAATCTGGACTAGTGGCACTGTACCTGCTGAGTGGCGTAACGCAGTCCTTGTACCAATTCCGAAGAAGGGAGACCTTTCCAGGTTTGATAACTGGAGGGGAATATCGCTGCTTGATGTTGTAGGGAAACTGGTGGGCCGTGTCCTGCAATCCCGTCTTCAGAGGCTTGCTGAGAAGGTGCTGCCGGAATCGCAGTGCGGTTTTCGCCGTGGACGATCCTGCACGGATGGAACTTTTTGTATACGCCAACTAGTAGAGAAGTTTTATGAGCATCGTCAGAAGGGCTACCTCGTTTTCGTGGATTTACGAAAAGCGTATGATTCCGTGCCGCGCCCTGCTCTCGCTGCATGCCTTCTCAAGCTGGGCGTACCTGAGGAACTCACAGAGCTAATCCTGCAGTTCCATTGCGGCATGGAAGCAGAGGTGCGTGTTGGTGCTGAAGTCAGTGGTTCGTTTCCTGTTGAAAATGGTTTGCGCCAGGGATGCACCATGGCTCCGGTTTTGTTCAATCTCTTCTTTGGTGTTGTTATGATGTGCTGGAGAGATGCGATGCGTCAGGCCAGCCCTGATTCTGGTATATCACTGTCCTACAACATCAATGGTCAGCTTTACTCCCGTGCTAAGGGTACCCTTCAAGTGCAACTCCACGACTTTGAATTTGCAGATGATGCCGTTTTGTTGTCAATGAGTCGGGCTGAGGCTGAGCAGTCGCTTCAGACTTTTCATCGTGTTGCATCCTCGTTTGGTTTGTCCGTCAGTTCGTCGAAAACACAATTCATGGTAGTTGGTGTTGGTAATTCCCCGGAGGACAGGATGCCGATGGACATGGGTGGCGACAGCATTTCGTATGTTGAATCGTTTGTGTACTTGGGCTCCCTCATCACGCCAGACACCCGATCCTCACCTGACATCCAGCGACGGATTGCCAATGCGGCAAAGGCGTTTGGCTGCCTCCTACCAGTGTTCCGGGATACCAGCTTGACGGTGGCAACAAAGCGTCATTTGTACACAGCCTGTGTTCTGTCGGTTTTACTCTACGGTGCTGAGTCATGGGCTCCGCTTCGGCACGACTTGGATCTGCTGGACAACTTTCACCACCGGTGCATTCGCTCCATCTTATGTGTATCTCGGCGTCAGCAATGGGAGGAGAAAATCTCATCGACAACGCTCCGTGCGCGCTGGGGTGACACTACACCGGTGTCAGACCTTGTTCGGCGTCGGCGGTTGGAATGGCTCGGGCACGTCGCGCGCATGCCTGCAGACCGTGCTCCCGTCCAGATTTTGTTTGGAAGGTTGAGTGGTCGTCGCCCTCCTTGTGGTCCCCGGCGGCGCTGGAAAGACGTTGTCCAGAGAGACATGAAGGCAGCTGGCGTGGATTCCTGGTTTCAGAATGCCCAAGACCGGCAGAACTGGAGGATGTTCCTTGCTGAGCCACCACAGCACACAGATGATTCGCCACCTTTGCGCTGCTTGCTGTGTGCCAGAGACTTCCGCCGCCGTAACGACATGGCCCGACACAAGTGCATTGCACAGCGGAAGTTGCCTGTGTCACAACAGAAGGGTGCCAGGCAATGTATGAAGTGCATGCGGTGGTTGAGGAGCGCTGGAGGACTGGCTGTGCATCGCTGTCCTGTGTCCACGGATGTCCCCACTATATCTATTCGCCATGAATCTGACTCTTTTCGATGTGATGTTTGTCTCCGCTCTTTCCGCTCTCGTTCTGGTTTGAGCCGTCATCACTGTGACCGTGCGAAACGGATGTCACGTGCAGCCAGGAACAACTGCCGTCATGAATGCGAGCATTGCGAAAGACGGTTCTCAAGGCCACAGGACTTGCAACGCCATGCCAAATATTGTTGACTTTGCGATTTCTCTCTCTTCTCTTCTCTCTTCTTGTCGTTGTCTCCCGTTTCTGGGAGCGGCGTGGCCCGATAGGGTAGCTGTACATAGTAGTAGTAGTAGTAGTGTGTGTGTGTGTGTGTGTGTGTGTGTGTGTGTGTGTGTGTGTGTGTGTGTGTGTATGCATGTGTGCATGTGTGCATGTGTGTGTATGCATGTGTGCATGTGTGTGTATGCATGTGTGCATGTGTGTGTATGCATGTGTGCATGTGTGTGTATGCATGTGTGTGTATGCATGTGTGCATGTGTGTGTGTGTGTGTATGCATGTGTGTATGTGCCAGCTAGTTCGGTTGATGGGTACACTTATGCCAGATTGTGTTGGGTCTGTTGCCAACAGGCTCGGCTGCTTGAAGGTGTAATGTTGTACCTGCCACCTTTGTTGGTTCCCGGGTTCATATACTTTCTATTTGAAGTATACAATATATATCTATTAACCATGGACTGCTTCTGGCTAGATTAACTCTTGTGTAATCAATGGTGCTAGTGAAGCTTATATCAGATCCACTCTGATTAGCCACCCACACTAGTAGCAAGTATTACCTTCACTGGGGGCAGGGGTAACTGCAGCTGGATCCCGGGACGGATACCTTGATGCCGTCAATCCTTTTTCTGCACCTTGTCCTCACCCACTTACTGAGGTGTGGTGAGCCCATAAGTGGGATCATTTTCAAGTCCACCCAGAGTTTTGGGGATTTCTGGGGGTGTCGGCCGTTGGGCGGTTCAATAGCCAATTGAGTCATCTTTCCAAGATTCCCTTTTGAGTCTCTCTCCCCTCTCCCGGGGAGACCCACGTGACCAGTTTTGGCAGTGAGCAACAAGTACAAGTATGTGTGTGTGTATGCATGTGTGTATGTGTGTGTATGCATGTGTGTATATGTGCGTGTATGCATGTGTGTGTATGCATGTGTGCATGTGTGTATATGTGTGTGTGTATGCATGCGTGTGTGTGTATATGTGTGTATATGTGTGTGTGTGCTGGAGTGTGCTGGAGTGTGTGTGTGTATATGTGTGTATATGTGTGTGTGCTGGAGTGTGCTGGAGTGTGTGTGCTGGAGTGTGTGTGTGTATATGTGTGTGTATGTATGCATGTGTGTGTGTGTGTATGTGTGTATGCATTACAACACAACAGGTTGGAGGAAGGTGGTGTGTTGACGGACTGCAGAATACGGACGTTTGAGCCGGATGACACACTCGACTTCAACTTCACGAGCGCCAACGTCGTCAACAAGATTATCCTTCATGTAGGTGCCTGGAAGTACAGTAAGACCTGCCCTAACTGAGACCTCTGAGCGGCTGAGCTTAATGCACCTAACCACCACACTCCCTTATGCACTTCAGTGTCTGGAGATGCGTGGATTTTGTAGAAGAAGAAAACGAACACCTTTGGTGCAGCGGAGACGGTGTTGATATGACAGAATTCCGCTTGATCCAAGAAAGCACAATCGATCCACACTGGACCATAGCACGTTGGTGCATGAAAATTTGTCCAGTCTGGATTCCGCTTGGTCCGGCAAACACTGGTTTTACTGTATGCCAAACCTGTGATGCATTGCACTGTGATACTCAGGGAAATCTGATCGTGCGAGCCAGCTAGCGCTTGGCACCATACAGCCCCAGACCTGCAAACACCGGGCTGTGCACTGGTACAGGGCACTGTGCAGTCCCAGACCTGCAAACACCGGGCTGTGCAGTCCCAGACCTGCAAACACTGGACTGTGCAGTCCCAGACCTGCAAACACCGGGCTGTGCAGTCCCAGACCTGCAAACACCGGGCTGTGCAGTCCCATACCTGCTAACATAGGGCTGGTCACGGTACTAGTCCAGGACGCTATTTACCCAGTACATGTATTCGCAGATTGAGTATATATATATATATATATATACTCAATCTGCGGACAGCATGCTGTTTCGTTCTTTTTGAACTCATCAGCGCAGCACAGAGAAAATGAGGCCGAACCTGATAGCAATGAAAATAAAAATTTCCAATCAGGCCCGAACGTACCTTGCCAGAGTGCTCAAACTGACAAGTCAGTGAGCTCTGCATAACGCAAACAGCAAAGGCACTACCCCACGCAAGAGTGCTCAACTGCTACAAGAGCAGGAGCGAAATATATATATATATATATCTGAGATTGTAGTTGAGCAGCCAGCACTGACCTGCTCTACTGAACTGATTCACGCAAACACTTCACAGTTTGCTGTGAAGACTTGCAGACTGCCTGGTACACTCATGCCTCAGTCACTATCCGTACCCCGAAGTTACCGGCACTTCGGTCTACCGGGCATGCCTTTGGGCAAATTTTAGTGGAAATATTACTACTCTTTTGTAAACAAAAAAATGTTGTTACTTTTCGTGGAAATAGCGACGTCATAGCCTTTCACCATCAAAATGTATGTGATTCTGATTTGCGGACATTTCAAAGTTACGGGCGGTGCCCGGTCCCGGACCGCCCGGATAAACGAGGTACAAGTGTACACTTCTTCGTAGCCCATGGCGTTTTGTGAAGTTGCGGCCATGGACGGCATTGTAACATTCCCATGTTGTTTGTTGCTTCCTCTGTGCCTTTTCTGTTGCTGCTACATACTACGACAATGGCAGTCGGAATGTCTTCGCGAGGCCTTCTCGGAATTGGATATGAGCAATGAAAGCCTGGAGGTTCTGATGTCTCCGGATGCGCCTTACCTTCGCCTGTCCACGTTTGGTTATATTGGCTCCTCACATGCAGACTATCCGAAAGATTCCGACATGGTCGATTGCTTTGAGTGCCGCCAGACTCAAGTAAGACTCAGGCTGTTAATGTCCCTTTTAGTCTGTCTCCGTGTGTGCGGGCAGGTGTGGGTGTGATGAGAGAATGGGTGTCTATCTGTCTGAACTCTTTCTTACATACACACATACACACACGTTTGTACTTGTACTTGTACTTGCTCACTGCCAAAACTGGTCACGTGGGTCTCCCCGGGAGAGGGGAGACAGATTCAAAAGGAATCCTGGAAAGATGACTCAATTGGCTATTGAACCGCCCAACGGCCGACACCCTCTGAAACCCCCAAATTCTGGGTGGACTTGGAAATTATCCCACTTATGGGATCACCACACCCCAGTAAGTAGGTGAGGACAAGGTGCAGAAAAAGGATTGACGGCATCAGGGTATCCGTCCCGGGATCCAACTGCCATTTATCCCTGCCCCAGTGAAGGTAATACGTGCTATCAGTGTGGGTGGCCGAATCACACACACATGCACACACAAACACACACCACACACACACACATACACACACACACCATACCGTGTATACGCCCGTCGCAAGAGAAGCACGCAAATCTGCAAATGCACTGGATGTGCACTCACAGATTTTCTCTCAATATAGCAACGATAGCGGACAAGATCTGAATGGGACAGATCAAGACTAGCGCCACACACACACACACACACACACACACACACACACACACACACACACACACACACACACACATGCGCGCCCACACACACACACATGCGCGCCCACACACACACACACACCAACAACTATCTTTGGACGGCCATGATGATGATGATAATGACAAAAGTGTTATGTATGTGCGTGTCCGTCTGTCTGTCTGTCTGTCTGTACGCACAGCTCAATCGGTACAAGGTTGCTCTGATCAAGCCGTCCACACGTGCTCTGCACATCTCCAGCAAGGTGTCGTTACGCGTGGACACACGCGGCTTTCTCTCGCTGCAGTACATGATCAAGAACGAGGACGGCAACGTGTGCTTTGTCGAGTACTTGGTATGTACATGTGCATGTACAGTAAACCTGGTTTAAGTGACCACCCCGCGGTGCAAGCAAAAGCGGTCGTTAAAGCCAGGTGGTCTTTAGAACCAGGTCCAACAGGTTCAGTGTAGAGCTGTCCGTGCATGGAAAAACGGTCGTTAAAGGGGAAGTATACCCTAAAATCAAATTTTCACCAGTTGTAGTCTTCGGGGTACTGAGTCGAATGGTCTTGGTCCGAGGAAGCTGAGACGCTCCCTTCCTATTTGAATCCCAATCGAACTCGCGCACTTCCACCGAAACTGGGTGACTGCGCCCTACTAGATGGGGATTTGTATGCAAAATGTCACTAAAAGCGCCATTTCGTTCTTATAAAAACACGTGCTCCTGCGTACACCAGTCACCTGGTCACCGTGCCTGCAGGGTACAACTTACTAGCCTGTTTGACCTTTTTTGGGTGCAGTCCTGTCACTCGAGTTGAACTCGAGTTGAACCTTAGTGTGAAAGTTGTCGCCTGCTGGCGTGGTGACCAGGTGATTTGGGCACCCAGGAGCACGTGACCGCTTTTTCAACCATGTTCGATTGGGAATAAAGGAGGAACGCTGCATCGCAGCCTTTTCGGACCAAAACCAGTCGACTCAGCGTCCAAAAGACTACACAACATATGGGGCAATCGCGGTCATCTGTGCTTTTATAAGAACGAAATGGCGCTTTTAGTGACATTTTGCATGCAAATCCCCATCTAGTAGGGCGCAGTCACCCAGTTTCGGTGGAAGTGCGCGAGTTCGATTGGGAATAAAGGAGGAAGGGAGCGTCTCAGCTTCCTCGGACCAAGACCATTCGACTCAGCACCCAGAAGACTACAACTGGTGAAAATTTGATTTTAGGGTATACTTCCCCTTTAACCCTTTGGAGCTCATCGTTCGAATTCGAACGATGCCAATGTTATGTGTGCCAGTGCACTCAACGAGTCATAACTCAGTCAAATCTCAACTGAATTCAACAATCGAAATACCTACGAGGTAGCAGAGAATCTAAGCTGTCGGCTCGAAAAACTCCGGGGTCAATACGAGCTAGTACGACAGAGCGGCAAGTGCTCGAACGTTCGCTCGATTTCTCATGCGTCAGCGAAGTGCAAATTTCGTTCAAAAGTGGGATTTTCCCTCTTCCTGCCCACGCAGCGTGTGACATCACTCCCAGCGCTTTTTGTCACGGCTTTTGTGAGTCTGTTAGAAAATTTTTGAATGATTTTGAGCTAGCACGAGTGAAATGGCGAGACAAGGACTATTCCCGTTTTAGATTTGGTATTCAGCTGGCGTTCCTGGCATTCAGTAGCAGACAGCAATCGCTCTCCTGAATGAGTTTGGGCTCGCTGTTATCCTCGTTCCAAGAGCTTTCCAACGAGCCCAAGATCGTCAAAATCGGTGAAGTAGAAGCAGCGTTATGATGGAAATTGGAACAAGTATAGTTGCAATTGCAGCTATGTCTTGGCGTGGTGTGATCAGTGCAGTTCCAAAGGGTTAAGAGCAGGTGGTCGCTAAAATCAGAGGTCGCTTACCCCAGGTTTTACTGTACTTGAAGCAGGTGTTGTGTTTAGGGCGCAGATCTTGCCGGATATCTTCCACCACTGCAGTAGTGCATTGGGAATTAGTTGGACCAAAGGACCTCGAAACCCGACTTTGTCCAGATCTAGACTCAAAACCCAAATTTGGCCAGATATAGCCTCAAAACCCCATCTTAGCCAGATCTAGGCTCAAAACCCGACTTTGTCCAGATCTAGGCTCAAAACCCCGATTTTGTCCAGATCTAGGCTCAAACCCCGATTTTGTCCAGATCTAGGCTCAAAACCCGATCTTGTCCAGATCTAGGCTCAAAAACCCGATTTTGTCCAGATCTAGGCTCGAAACCCGATTTTGTCCAGATCTACAGTCCATTTCAAAACTATAGACGCGCAGTGTTTTTGAAATTATTTCAAATTTGGCTGGAACTTTTTGAGAATAGTTTTCGGAATATTTCTCAGGTCCGCTCCACAATTGCTCTCATATAGTTTCTAAACGATTGGATAACAGACGCCCAATTTGGAAAAAATTATGCACAAAGTGATCACAGATTTTATGTGGTATAGATGCTGGCATAACGGTTTTTGCCTAGGTACGCGTCTATAGTTTTGAAATGGACTGTAGGCTCAAAGTGCTGTGCACAGTTCGAAGTGCGAGTGCACACCGTACACATGTTTGAAAAAACCGGGACATTGGAGTTTTCAGGAGCAACCTGGATCAGACAAAAAATGTGGCTTTTCCGGGAGTTTGCTTGAAATCTCCGGGATCCCGGGAGTATTGTTGATTTCCCAGGATTTTCCCTGGAAAACCGGGAGGGTTGGCCTGTATGGTGATAATATTTCCACGAAAACTGACCCAAAGGGGTAGATTGAGGAGCCTGTAACTTCGAGGTCCGGGCATATGCTTCAGTGGTCCCAACGTGCCTGCTGTGTGCCTCGTGTTGACCACCTTCCGTGATGTACATGTACATATGTGTGTACACGTGTGTGTATGTGTGTGCGCGTGTGTGTACATGACTCTTTTGAGTGTGTATGTGTGTGTGTACGCGTGTGTACGTGTGTGTACGTGCGTATGCGTGTGTATGTTTGTACTTGTTGACAGTGCGGGCCTGATGAGGAGTTAGATGATGGTAATGAGGACGCGGAGCACACGTGGACCGACCAAACGTGATCATACAGCGACTGGCATGCGTGCCAACCCTGCTAGCAGCGGCTTGGTTTGCCGTCCGCGACGTGTGTATGTTTGCATGCACACACACACACACATACAGTGTGTTGGTGCTTGTTGCACCACACCATCCCTCCGGCATATCTCTTTCTTACCATTGTGTGACAGTGGTGTTCCTTGCTGTGGGCTCAGGGATGCTGCCCTTCTGCGTACACTCTATCTGGACATGTGTGTGCATGTGTGTGCATGTGTGTGTGTGTGTGTGTGTGTGTGTGTGTGTACACAGGTGTGTATGTGTGTCCGCTAATCCTCAAGTTACCCATGTTTGCACGGCCGTCTCCTAGCTGCAGCGCATTCGCCCATTACCGCTGGGTGCCATTGCCGCTCTCGTCGTCGTCGCTGTTGACTGTTCAACACGAACCTTCTTCAGTGCCTTGTCCGTCGCGTCGGTATACACGTGTGTGACATGCTGGTTGACAGCATGGCTGCATACTGGTGTGGGAGTGCGACCATATCTGTTACGGACACAGTAATGCACAGCTTACACTTGCGTTCAGTGATGATGCTGTATAGTGATGATGCCGTACAGTAATGATGGCGTACAGTGATGATGTCGTACAGTGATGATGTCGTACAGTGATGATGTCGTACAGTGATGATGTCGTACAGTGATGATGCCGTACAGTAATGATGTCGTACAGTAATGATGTCGTACAGTGATGATGCCGTACAGTGATGATGCCGTACAGTGATGACGCCGTACAGTGATGATGCCGTACAGTGATGATGGCGTACAGTGATGATGTCGTACAGTGATGATGGCGTACAGTGATGACGCCGTACAGTGATGATGCCGTACAGTGATGATGGCGTACAGTGATGATGGCGTACAGTGATGATGCCGTACAGTGATGATGGCGTACAGTGATGATGGCGTACAGTGATGATGGCGTACAGTGATGATGCCGTATAGTGATGATGTCGTACAGTAATGATGTCGTACAGTGATGACGCCGTACAGTGATGATGCCGTACAGTGATGATGGCGTACAGTGATGATGTCGTACAGTGATGATGGCGTACAGTGATGACGCCGTACAGTGATGATGCCGTACAGTGATGATGGCGTACAGTGATGATGCCGTATAGTGATGATGGCGTACAGTGATGATGGCGTACAGTGATGATGGCGTACAGTGATGATGGCGTACAGTGATGATGGCGTACAGTGATGATGCCGTACAGTGATGATGGCGTACAGTGATGATGGCGTACAGTGATGATGGCGTACAGTGATGATGGCGTACAGTGATGATGCCGTACAGTGATGATGGCGTACAGTGATGATGGCGTACAGTGATGATGGCGTACAGTGATGATGGCGTACAGTGATGATGGCGTATAGTGATGATGCCGTACAGTGATCACTGTTCATAGTGCTGACATTCACAGCTATCCTCCAGCAGAAGGAGCGATGTGCCTTGCGTAGACGGCCGCATACCAGAGTATCTCTCGAAACGGCAAGTTGTCGGGTCGACCGGTCGCGCTGGCTGCCTTCTCTCATTATGACATCATGCTGCCAGAGTTCTATGGTATGCAGCAACTATGACATCATTCTGCCACAGTTCTACGGTATGATGCAACTATGACATCATTCTGCCAGAGTTCTATGAACTTCTATCAACTTCTATGCAGCAACTATGACATTATGGTACCGGAGTTGTATGCAGCAACTATGACATCATCCTACCAGAGTAGTATGCAGCAACTATGACATCATTCTGCCGGAGTTCTATGCAGCAACAATGACATCATGACCTCTTTGCAACTTACCTACTTGGCACTGGCCAAGTTGTACTTGGCGATCCCTTGCACCAGTATTTACACAGAGACTGTATGCATATCTGTATGCGCATGGCGTCTGTTTGCGATATGTGAGCGACTTGTTGCGAGTGTGCAGCTTGTCGTGAGTGCGTGACTTATCGCTAGTAGACTGTGTCCTGTATTGCACGAGCGTATGCGCGGGCCATATCATGGTATGCTGTTGCAGACACCCACCCACCCCACCACTATACCTCATTTCATCCTGACATAGCCGCGGCTAGCATACTGCACTACTTTTAAAGGCCGCACAATATCCCTGCAAGGCCTGCTATCCCTGCAAGGCCTGCTATCCCTGCAAGGCCTGCTATCCCTGCAAGGCCTGCTATCCCTGCAAGGCCTGCTATCCCTGCAAGGCCTGCTATCCCTGCAAGGCCTGCTATCCCTGCAAGGCCTGCTATCCCTGCAAGGCCTGCTATCCCTGCAAGGCCTGCTATCCCTGCAAGGCCTGCTATCCCTGCAAGGCCTGCTATCCCTGCAAGGCCTGCTATCCCTGCAAGGCCTGCTATCCCTGCAAGGCCTGCTATCCCTGCAAGGCCTGCTATCCCTGCAAGGCCTGCTATCCCTGCAAGGCCTGCTATCCCTGCAAGGCCTGCTATCCCTGCAAGGCCTGCTATCCCTGCAAGGCCTGCTATCCCTGCAAGGCCTGCTTGCTCCGTGTGCTCTTTTAAACGTTTCAACGATGTTTTACTAGCCTGGCGGACTCCAGAGATTCACCGAAAACAGTTTCAAACTTCATCTCTACCTTCTTCAATATGCAGAGGCTCCACTACAGCCAATTGATTATGTCTTGATCTCCTCCTTGAGCTACCAAGGTCTTCTCCACTGCAAGCGTAAATATACATCTCCAGATTTTCGCCCTTGCCGATAAACTCGAACATGCGGTCAAATAATTTAATTTACTCCTAAAGTTGTAGCACCCCAGCCACCCCAGCCATACACCACCCCAGCCACCCCAGTCAACTACACTGTACCCTATTAGCCACTGGCTATCGTGAGAATAAAGATTTGAAACTACAGAAGGAGGCCGACAAGTACAGTGAAACGTGTCTAAGACGACCGTTCAAGGGACCTTCAAAACGTGGTCTCCTTATCCGGGGTCGTTTGACTGGAAATAGCATCCCTTGGTCCTGGTTGCACTGGTCTTCTAGCGTTAGGACAGGGGGGGGGGGTCGCCTTGACAGGTTTTACCAAGAATATAATTATACGGTAATCCCGCTGGGGACTTATATCCTCTTGCTTTTACTGTACACGTAGTCTGGGTGTGGTTGTGGGAGCTCCAGCTCCCTGGTTGCAACTGTGCGGCTGTGCGTCATTGGACAGAAGTCGAGAGAACAATCATACACGAGAAAATTGTACACCATTGTGTTATTCTGTTGCCCTTAGAAGAGGCAGTTCACAGTGGGTAGAAAAGGAAAATAGATAATTCCGAAGAAGTAAATAAATGTATTCATAAACTAGTGGAAAAGGAAAATAGATAATTCCAAAGTAGATAAATTCATAAATATAGATGTACAAACTGTCCTAATGCACCAGCACCTTCTCGACCACATAATATTATCTAGAAGAGAGAAAGAATACGCGAGGCTGTCAGTAGAATGCAGCACGTGAAGAAATTCAAAGAGAGGTTTTAATTCCAATTTCGATGGAAATTCTACACAAGGAGGGGGGGGGGGGGGGTGTAGCTTCGTGCAGTGAAGCTGTCACTCTCAGAGGAAATCTTATCACATCTCGCCGAAGATGACAATAATATTAATAACGCTGTGCAATGGCCAGCAGCTAATCCCAACACAACGTTACTAAGAATACGCTGAAGAGTAGAAAGAAAGGAGGATGCGCGCACACGTGTACACACGCACACACACACACACACATACACACACGGAGAGCTAGTCCTGGCAGCTGCACTACATTCGCCTGGGTCTGACACTGCACTGTAGTCCTGGACCAGCCAATACGTGCAAGCATAGCCAAGCGGGTTTCTTCTGCACAAATTATTGCTCGCTACTCGTTAGAACCTGGAAAAGCCGCCACTTCCGTTGGTGAGCCTATACCGCCGCACCAACAGAGCCACGGATACCATTACGAACAGCAACGCCGCAGTGACGCCAACGCCAACACCCACGGCAGAGCTGCTGGTCGCCTGCGGCGGCGCACCGTCTTGTTGGTTCTTGCTTCCTCCGATGGCGCCGTTGCTAGGGGCAACACTGTTACTACTAGTGACAGTAGTATGTATTCCAGGATGGCGGCCCGTCGGAACACCAGGGGAGTCGCTATGGGCAACGTTTCCAGGATGGGCAGTGGGAGCGATAGGATGTGTTGGATGCTGGCCGCGGGGATGAGGCAGCGGACGTTGTGTTTTGTCTCCGCTTCCCGGCGGCATTGTAGGATGCGACGGAGGCCGGCTACTGGGACGGGGCGGCGGCGGCGGAGGAGGCTGCGTTTTGCCTTTGCCTCCTGATGGCGTCACCGGTGCACCAGTAGGCTGCTGGTGATGGAGAGTTGTTGGGGCGTGATCACGCTTGCTCGTATGCGCACGCACAGTAGCGGTGCTTGCATGGCTGGAGGCTGCTGTCGGCGGTGCTGCTGCTGCGGGGTGTACTGAAGTGCACTTGGTGTGGCGGACAGTAATGGAGCTTCCGTTCCCGTAGCCGTCCGTGCAGAATGACGTGCGTCGCAGCTGAAACGTGTGCGATGGCGTCACGCGACACCACAAGCAGCCGAGAGCGGGCGGCGTTGCCGAGCATTCGGCAACGGTCGCGGCCGAGTTGCAAGTGGCGTTGGCGACAGGCGTGAACACGATGCTCTTCACCTTGGCTTGGCCGCTAAAGGCAGTACGATCAGAGATACTCACTGGCGAGTAGTGTACAAAGTGCCAGGGATCCTCCGGGTCGTGTATCGGTTCTGCCACAATCGACTCTCCAAGGCCGATTCTGAAGTTAGAGCTGAGGGGGAACGTACTGCGATCTGTCAGCTTCTGATAGTTGTATATAATGCGGCCATCACTAAAAAGGGTCGCTGAGAAAGTTACCCTTGGCGAGTTGAAATCTGGGCAGGCGCAAAATAAACAGTTCAGATAATTGCAGTAGATGGCGAACATCTCTCGGACGGCATTTGTCCAGACAACGTGCACAAATCTTTTGTTCTTGTCCTGAAAGATGTCGATGCCGCCATGATCCACGCCAACCGGGTCCTTCACAAAGAACCAGGGGTGGTACATTGGCGAGACATGGCTGGCTTGGAAGTGATCGCTCACATAGCACGTATGGCAGCGCCACATGTGCATGTGTATGAAGCCGAGTGACATAACGGTAATGTGGCGGACCCGGTGTCCGTAGTAGGGAAAGTCGAATGGCAGCGACACGGAAGTTGCGAAGTAACGAAGGGCCGACGACAGGCGCTTTCGGACAAGGCTGGCATTGCGCAGATCAGGAAGGCGGAGCCCAGCAGTGGACATGCTTGCCGTGTAGTATGTGTGCCTCAGTACTGTGTCATTGGCAAAGCTCAGCACTGCGCCGTCCGTTGTGTTTGAGCAGCCAGTCGCCCGGTAGTGCAAGTAGTTGCGATCATGTCCCCCGTCGGTGCAAAATGGCCGAGTCTTTAGATTGTACCCGGGTGGCAACGGGCACCAGAAACAAGCAAGCGACGGCGAGCGTGCTTTGCACTCCGTTTCGTCCAATGCCGTAAAGCACACGGGCGTTGTTAGCGGCGTAAATGTGATGCTCTTCGGGCGAACACTGCCGTTGAACACGGTTGAGATGTTAGCGTCGGCATAACGCACATAGCGGTGATCGTAAACACCGGCTGCATGATCGTGGATACTGGAGTCACGCAGGCCAATCGTGCCACCATAGCTGGCACTGTGGAAATTGAATTTGTCGTAAGCAGACCTCGCACCCAGTTTGTCGTAGTGGAACTCAATGGCGCCGTCGCTGTAGAGAGTTGCTGAGAATTGTGTTTCCGTGCCCTGGCGTGTACCACACGTTCTGACTCCACGGACATCCGTGTGGCACAGACCACTCAGGAGGCGCACAGACCACACAAAGTGTACAAATGTCTTGTCCTCTGCCGTGTACTGCACTAGCTGGCTGTTGTTATTGGCCAGGCCGGCCCAGACGCCTATGAGCGGCGCAATGTAACTTGTCTCCACCATGTGGACCAGTCTGCAGGCGTACGGCGCGCAGTCACTCGGGAGTGGGTGTGCAAAGATGAAGCCATAAGTAGATACAAACACATGATCATGAAAATGTCCAAAGAAGGAAAAGTTGAATGGCAGCTGCACGTGTATATGTGCTCCCGTCCGTGTGCTGTCTCCTTGGTGCAGGATGCCGTGAGAAGCATTGTTCAGGTCTGGTAGCATACTCTCATGCGTGTAGCTTACAGCTGATTTGTAGTAACGGCCAGCCTCCTGGCTAGCTGTGGGTGACACTGACCGTCTGCGATGTCTGCTGCCATGATCCCTACGCCGGCGCACCTTGGGCAGGTCAGGTCTGGGTACCCGCGGCGCGGCATCGACCCGCTGCTGGCCATCATGCCGGTTACCAGCTGGGGTCTGCCCATCTTCTTGATGGGCCTCCTCGGCTTTCTTGGTCAACCAGATTGGATCAGTAAGGTCCAGAGTTCCGGTATCATGGGCAAAAGCCAAAGAACTCGTCACCAATACACACACTGCGGCCAGCCAGAAGCCGAGAGCTAGAGGAACAACCCTTGTAGTAGTGCCCATCGTGACGTTCAAAACTCTGAGCCAGAAAGTGGGACCCCGGATTCCTGGCTGTTGTGCCGTACCAGCGCTTTTGGCCGAGTGGTTGTGGACTTGCCTGCGAATCACAGGGTCCCGAGTTCGAGACCCGCGCGCGGGGAGCAAGGAGCGAGTCGTATAGCGTAGTCTACCATGCATGGTCTACCCTCTCTACTCGTACTCTAACAAATCGTGAGGGTAACAATACCGCGCTGTACTCTATAGAGACGAGGTTCGCCTCCTTATCGCCATATCGGCCCCGACGGGCATTGGTCGAAGGACTTACCACCTCACCCTCGCCGTTTATGGCGCTTCACCTGAGCTGTGTCTAGAGTAGACGGCTCTATCCAACGTACCCGGTACCCCTGGGTGGTGGGCCTGGTGGCCTGGCAACTAGACCAGTGTGTACTCGCGAAATACCATCCCTGATCCCGCGGGCCCGACAGAAGTCCGCAATACTCGTTCGCCGGAACAGATGTGGAGCATACTGACCAACCACCACAATCTCAATCCCTTGACAAGACATGCAGAATCCCTGGATTTCTCTCAAAATCCCTGGATGGCACAAAAACAAGTGAAAAAGAGCTTTTCCCGCCAAAAAAACGTTCGACTCTGCAGCTGTGCGTACAGCACAGATCGACCCTGTACTGTACTAGGCTGTAGTGCAGTTTGATCCAGGGAGTAGTACTACTCCCTGGTTTGATCAGTCGGCGCCCGCCTGTCACTTTGTCCGTGCAGATCTTGCATGGTCAGGTCTTCAAAGTGCTGTGCACAGTTCGAAGTGCGAGTGAGCACCGTACACATGGTACATACCTTTGAAAAAAGTTCAAAAAACCGGGACATTCGGGGAGAAACCATGGAGTTCTCAGGAAAATCCTGTATCAGACAAAACTTTGGTTTTTCCGGGAGTTTGCTTGAAATCCCCGGGACCCCGGGAAGAGTGTTGATTTTCCGGGATTTTCCCGGGAAAAACGGGAGGGTTGGCCAGTATGGTGGAGGAAAGGGTGGAGGAGGTGGTATACAATACGAACTTAGAAGTTGCGACTTCGGCGGTAATTGTCATGAAGTTGATTGTTCCAACTAGGAACACACGCTTCTTGCCGAACTTGACACTTGACTGACTCACGACTGCCATCCAGAGCACACGAGGAGCACGTCGCACCTTCCACTCGGCAAACCTGCAAGAAAGCACCACTCCCTGCTCAAACTGAAGTCGAAGTCGCAACTTTTAAGTTCGTATTGTTATCCCTCACGCGGACGTGCGACTAGATGTTGGAGGTGGCAGCGTTGTGAATAGCTATACAGTACAACGAAATAATAATATGTTGAACCGACGCTTGCACTGCTGTACACAATAATGTGCCAATCCAGGATGATGTGCCAATCCAGGATCATCGGATGTGCCAATCCAGGATGATGTGCCGATCCAGGATGATGTGCCAATCCAGGATGATGTGCCGATCCAGGATGATGTGCCAATCCAGGATGATGTGCCAATCCAGGATGATGTGCACAACTTAGCACATAGGTAGGTACAGGTAGGTACATTTTTATTTGAATTCGCAGAACCAAACGGGCGGTGTCGCCCAATTTACATGGAAGCGAATGGAAACAGTAAAATATTGTAGGAAATAGCCTAACATGATAGCAGGGTGTAGTACAAAGCAAAGAACGCTCAGTCAATGAATAACGTTAACGTTAGAATACAACCGGAGAGGCACCGGAGAGGCGGTAAACAGCACATGACTGGTACCAAGAGTCCAGGGTTATGGACTCTTGCTGGTACTGTGGAGTACCGCGAACGTTCAAAGGTTCCTGTAGTGTTCAGTAGTGCCAGTGGGTGCTACTGCTAGCAAGACAGAACGGGAGGCAGGCTTGTTTTAACTGGTGGAACTGGGTAATACCACGCACGTCGGATGGCAGGGTGTTCCATAAAATGGACCCGCGAGCGGTTGCACGGTCGAGCGGTCGTGGCCGGCTTTGGAGGCAGATGTGGGCACTCGAAGGCCCAAGCTGCGTTGCGCGCGCGTTGTTCGAGTACTGGGACGCTCCAGAAGGGCTTGCAGTGCATTGCTTGCTCGACCATTCGAGCAACGCCAGATCATATTATTAAGGGTCTTTTGATTGTGGAGCTCTTCGATGCCATACAGCTGCAGATGAGCAAGCAGAGGTTGGGCGCTTGTGCGAGGTGGCAGGCCGAATACGGCGCGTGCCGCACGGTTTTGCTGGACCTGAAGGCGGGACCGCTGGTCTTGTCGAAGGCACCCAGAGAACGCCACGGACCCGTAGAGCAAATCTGGCATCACAACGGATTTCACGTACTGCTCTCCGGACTTTCTTGTAAGGCAACGGCGGGCTCTCCAGAGTGCTCCCACCTTCTGCGAGGCCTTCTTCACAGCATTGTTAACGTGTTCGTCAATCGAACGTGCTCGTCTATCGTGACGCCCAGGTACTTCGCATGGGGAACTGCTGGTAGCGGGTTTCCACGGCATTTGACAGTAATGTCTTGGCCGGAAATTCGCAGGACATGGCTTTTGCTAGTGTTCAGGATTAGATTCCGTTCCTGGAGGTGGTTAGCAATCTCGGTTGTAGACGTTGTGAGAACTCGCGATACTTCATGGCAATCAGGGTGGCTGAAAGTGAGAGCAATATCGTCAGCAAACTGCACTGAGAGGGACGGACTGGCAATGGTGGGCACATGCCTGGTGTAGATGTTGAAAAGCACGGGTCCGAGAACGGAACCCTGCGGGACGCCACATGAGCATGTGCCACTGACAACAATGGATCCAGCGATTTGCACTTGTTGGGCGCGTCCTTCGAGGTAGTCTGCAAACCATTGGAGTGCAGTGCCGTGAAGGCCAACTTCGAAAAGATCACGTACAAGAATGTCATGCTTGACTTTGTCGAAAGCCTTCGACATGTCCAGCAAACACACACCACTGGCTAGTCGCGCGTCATTTGCATGGAGAATGTTCTCCGTCAGGAGTACCAAAGCGTCTTCAGTGCAGTGGTTTGTGCGGTATGCAAATTGCGTGGTCGGCAGCACGTCGTTTGCCGCGAGGAACCTTGGCGATGTACTACCTTTTCAAGCAGCTTCGCAACAATTGGTAATAATGACACGGGTCTGTAGTTAGTGGCGACTGTTGGGTCCCCTGCTTTGTAAAGCGGCTTTACCAGGGCGTGTTTAAACGGCTTCGGTAGGCGACCGGAATGCAAGGAGGCATTGAAGAGGTCGCATAAGTGCGGGGCAACAATATCACTGCAGGCTCGCAGCAGACGGCCAGGGATCTCGTCACTGCCTGTAGCCTTGTCAGGATCGATTGTGGCGAGTAATCGCTGTACTGCGGGACAGGTCGTTGGCGTGAGAGCTGATAGTGAGGTGCAGGTGCAGGGACCATGGGGTATCTGTAGGGTGTCCGGACGACTTGGATCAGTGACAATACTATTGAAGGAGCTGCTCACCGCAGAAACGTCGCACACTGGGTCCTGCCTTGCCTTGGAGCGGCCGGTTACCGCGTTCAAGGTTGACCACATTCTCCTTGGATCATGAGAGTGCTGCTCACATTGTCTGGTGAAAAAGCGTTTCTTTTCCTGCAGATTGCGTTGGATGCCTGAGACCGGGCTGTTTTATACTGGGAGAGTAGGATGTCATTTCCTCTATCTCCTAGCCAGCGCTTGTGTAATCTGTTTTTCTTTTGCGTGAGTTGGTACGTATCCTTGTCGAGCCAAGGTAATCTCGCAGCAGCTCTCTGGCGTCTTGGCGAGCGCATGATGGGTGCATGTATGTCTAGAACTGTTTTGAACCCTTCATAGAAAGCCGTCCACATGTCGTCAACATCCATGTGGGCGGATGTAGGATTAGCGCTGAATGCTTCGGCGAGGTCACACCAGAACTGGTCGATATCAATGTTGCGTAAGTGGCGACGCTTTTGGCGTTTCCTACCTGGACTACACTGTAGTTGCGGGTATGGCGATATGGAGGTTCGCCATCACCGCGTGGTGGTCGCTAATCGAACATTCCATGACAACGCAACTCGAGACAAAGTTATGGTCTGCTAGTACGAGGTCGATCACTGAACCATGATTCCCACTTGGAGTCGGCCGTGTGGGGGACTTCACCAAATTCGAGATGCCAAACATATTGCTGAGGTCTTGCAGGTGTGTACGATGGTTACTGTGAGTTGTCATGTTGACGTTGAGATCGCCAATAATGGTCATGTGTGGCGCTTGCGCTTGGGCCCGCTGCAGTGACTCTTCAAGGTCGTTCCAGTAGTCAATCCCCACGTCTGGAGCTCAGTAGACGCAGGCCACTGCATGTTGACCCTGGCCGCCTTTGATCGATATCCAGACAGCTTCTAGGCCATTCAAAGACAGTTTAGGACAAGGTCGGATTGGCAAAGAAGATTTTGTAATATATACACGTACCTCCTCCTCGTCTACCCACGCGGTCTGTCCTTGTGAGGTTGTATCCAGGAATGGCTACTTCTCCGTCACCAATAGTGCTGTCTAGCCAGGTTTCGGCCAATCCAAAAATATCAAGGTCCTACGCCTGGAGGAGTGCTGTTACTTCATCTACTTTGTAGCGCAAGCTACAGACATTCAAAAAACTTCGGGTGTCCTGGGTGCTCACCGGAAAAGGGAAGCGGGAGGCTGCATAGCAGCACGAGGGAAAAAGGGATCAGCACGGGGATTAAGAGCAAGTGCAGTAAGTATTAAAAAGAAAGAAAGGTAACACATACTACTCATAGTTAACACTGACGGACCGTAATTACCTTCATTGCACTAGTGGCTTCCTCTGCGGGCAGCTTCAACTCTCTCTGCCAGCTTCTTCCGCTCATCGAGTCTGATCCTCCAAGTTGTTGTACATCGTGCTGCACTTGACAGCCTTGATCCCGCCCCCTGCTGAAAAACCAGCTGGGAAGCGACATGGCGTGGGGGGGGGGGGGGGTCAACGGTACTTTACGGTATACCATGGGCTAAAAAACGAACATGTTTTACTGGATATTTTATCCCCAAACTGCATTGTTTCACATATAAGCCCATGGGCTTATATGCGCGGAATTACGGTATGCATTATAAAAAAGAGCACGACAGCTTTCAGGAAGGTGGGCGCGGTGTGAGTATATTACACCTATGGCCTGACTAGTCTTCTTGCATACGTGGGCAGCATGGTGATTCCAGAAAAGATACTATTGGCATCAAGAAGGACACCAAGATGGCTGTAATGGAACACAAGGGGAATACTAGGGGATCCGAGGGAGAGGGTAGCAAACACTGGGGGAATGGTCTTTACCTTGGTCTTCCCGATGTTGGGTTTTAGCTTCTACGATGTCATCCACGAGGTGACATCCGTGATGCCCGCTTGGAGGTCCAATGTACGACGGGGGAACAGATAGCAGAGCTAGAGGGACTGCTGTACAACATACAACTTATTACAAGTGTCGTCTGCAACAGAGACACGCCAGCGGTGAGGACAGGGAGGTGCAACAGAGACACGCCAGCGTTGAGGACAGGGAAGTGCAACAGAGACACGCCAGCGTTGAGGACAGGGAGGTCGTTGACAAATGCCGGCCCAGGAACAGTAGCGGTTCTAGGGTGGACCCTTGCGGTACACCAGAGCAAACAGAGAGAAAGTCAGAGAGGACTTGACTAAGCTTTACTGATTGAGTCCTGTTGTTGAGATAGCAGATGAGCCACGACGGCAGGCGGCCGATGACCCCATAAGCATGCAGCTTGGTTAGTAACCCCCGATGCCAAACTGAATGAAACGCCCTTGCCAGGTCGAAGAAACATAGGCCACTGTAATGCCGGTGGTCTCGCGTAACTTACTTGTAGTTCCTTGGTCCCTTTCCTTTCGAGAAGCTGAAGGGTGGTTTTCATTCACCAAAGCCCATGATAGCCAGCTTGAGGGGCTTGAGGCGTGGTACTCGAGTTCCGCAGACCCGGACGCATCACGTGGTTCCTGTCTATAGCTTGTGTATACAGCACATGTACATGTACCGACCTGCGTCGTCAAGAGTAGGATTCTGGGAACAATGTACTAGCTACAAAGGGTAAGCAGCATTCGGCCGGTGAAAGTTTCTGCGTTGACATTAGGCCTTTGTGGATAATGGCGGCAGAAAAATTGGCAGAATTCGGTACTTTTTCTGGTAAGTTTCATGCATGTTTAGTATTTGGATAAAGAAATGGAGCAGAATTTGAGGAATTGCCCGCCATAAGGTTGTATGGTTCTGCCAATTTCACTGCTTTTCGAGCAGAATCTGCCACCCTTTCGAGCATTATCCGCCCATGCCTAGTTGACATTCACCACCAGGTCCACCACCACCACTGCGCTCTGTGGCTGACCACATACATACACTCACTTGCCCACTACGGCAACAAGACTCCAAAATGATTTTTCTGAGTAGGAGATCACCTTGACAGGCCTAGAGCCTTTGGGTGATCCTTGAAATACAATAAAAACAAAAAAAGAGGTATGTGGTCAGCCACAGAGCGCAGTGGCGATGGTGAATGTCGACCCAGAAAGTTCACTACATGTACATGTTGGACTTGTTTTATTCGAAGAACCACATTTAGGTGAATAATAGCAAGAAGGTACAAGAGAAGAGCTAGAGAGAAAAGTACATGTAGCTGCTAATAATACCACCTCTCCACACTGAGCTCTTGCCCACATCCACAACACCACCTCTCCACACTGAGCTCTTGCCCACGTCCACAACACCACCTCTCCACACTGACCTCTTGCCCACATCCACAACACCACCTCTCCACACTGAGCTCTTGTCCACATCCACAACACCACCTCTCCACACTGACCTCTTGCCCACATCCACAATACCACCTCTCCACACTGAGCTCTTGCCCACATCCACAACACCACCTCTCCACACTGAGCTCTTGCCCACATCCACAACACCACTCCATTCAACCATAGCGAGGAAGTTCATCTACCCAAGAACGAATTTCCTCGCTATGGAGTGGTGTTGTGGATGCGGGCCAAAAGCGCAGTATGGAGAGGTGATTATTTTCAAATGTCCGAGTTTGTCGCTACATGTACTTCTGATTTGCTAATAATAATAAATTAATACTTGAAGTAATTATTAGGATGGCCCAAAGGCTTGTCGTCTATCAAGATGATGTGACTGGCCAAATCAAGCACAGCTCGATGTGTATTCTAGGAGATCTAAATGTAGACTGTTATAATATCCAAATACTACATGTAGTACTTCCTTCCCACTTCAGACAGAGAGATACATGTACATTGTATGTGTACACGTGTGCTGCCCACAAGGTTCGTAATGTAGTGGCTGAGCCAACCAGATTCTGGTCCACGTCTTGTTTGGATGTGATCTGCATTACAAGCGATGTCACTGATGTCACTGATGTCAATGTGAATGTCATCCCGGATCCCATTACTGTAGGGATTACTTGACAAGTACAGTAAAACCTGTCAAGGCGACCACCTGTCCTAGAAGACCACTGCAACCAGGACCAAGGGATTCTACATGTATTTCCAGTCAAATGACCCTGGATACGGAGACCACCTGGTAACAGAGACCAGGTTTTGAAGGTCCCTTGAGCGGTCGTCTTAGACAGGTTTCACTTATTAAATTCTACTACTACTACTACAGTCGTCCCTCTCTAATCCGGCACTTTATAATCCAGCACCCTCGATAAACCAGCACAATTTTCAGTAGCCAAAATGTCCTCTTCATGTACATTGCAGCAGTAAATCAGATTTGTTAATCCAGCACCCTCCCTAATCCAGCAGATTTTCGTGGCACAAATGGTGCCGGATTATAGAGGGATCACTGTACTACTACTATTATTAATTTTTATATTTTGAATAGGGCAATCCCCTGATCACTTTGCTGTAAAGGCTAGACTTGCAATAGGAAGCCAGGTGGACAGACCAGAATGTATCCGTGTCAGAACTCGAAAGAAGCTTCTCTCCACACTGGACCTTGAAGACATGTCAGAAAGGTTCAGCCCTCACGGAGACCGGAAACAAAAATCACCGCTAACACTATTGTTGATGACCTCGCAGACAAATGGCAAGGCAGCATTAGTGATGTCCTCGACGTGCTGGATACATACGTGATGAAAAGCATTCAACTGAATACTAGTAAGGCCTAAACAAAAAATAGCCTTGTTTCCGGTCGTCCGACCGGGTCATTTTTTCCCAAATTCTGAAACTTTTTTTGGTCCGCGTAATGTAGTACATGTCATGTGTGCGCCTGTAAAGCTAGCGCTGTATAATGACTGTAGGTATTGCGCCGTGCAAGCACGCTTGTTGTACAGTTGTAGCTTGCATGCATCCGCGGTCTTGTACGTCTGGTGGTGGACTCACGCTGTCAGGAGCACACAGTCTGTCATTGACTTGTGTCAAGTATTAGTTGTGAATACTGGATAGCCGCTAGAATTATGAGACATGCAGGTCTCTGTTGTGATGTTAAACTGACATTCCTCTATACCATGTACATAATTATACATCAAGTATGTATATCTGCATTGCTTTTACTGCGTAATATGCCCCAGGATCATTGATTGTAAGAACCAAAAAAATTGCCCAAAAATAATTTTTTTTCCGGCCGACCGAGTCTGTTTTTTGGGGGGTTGCCGACCGGAAACAAGCCTATTTTTTGTTTAGGCCTAAGCGATCGCCAGAGACATGGATTACTGCTAGAGATCTGCGGTCCCTCCTTGCACGGCGACAGTAGCCCGGTGGCATTGTTCAACAACCGCATCCTAGATGCTGATACACCCAGTTACTACTGTAGCAGTACCACCAGTCATCTTGGGAAGCCATCGCTTGGAAAGCAGCAGAAAGCAAGAAGAGGAAGAGTGTGGCCAGGTGAGCTTGGAGTTGCGTGCATCGTTGGCAATGGTTTACTCCACCGATGCCGGACTCCATCGTCAGTACTAGTGTAGTACATGACTGCCTGCCAGCGCTGCAGCGGCGCCTAGCGCCTGGCCAGTCAGCTTGCACACAAGTACAAGTGGGCCATGGGGGAGGTCGTATTCGTCTGTGATGGAATGGGTTCGCATCAGCACCTAGTTCGCTTGTCGACCTTCGCCTCCGAGGATCTCTCCGATGACGTATCGGTTTCCACGATGGGGCGGGCATTGGAGTTCAGTTGGGCACTGATTGGACACTCACCTTCATTTAGGAGGGGCGAATTCCCCAAAACTGTCTGTGCATTGAGCAGGGCGTGTTGCTCTCTTGCAGATTTGCCGAGTGGAAGGTTCGACGGGCTTCTCGTGTGCTCCAGACACAGTCGTGAGTTAGTCAAGTGTCAAGTCAGTCGGCAGGAAGCGCGAGCTCCGACGTTCGGAGCAGACACGTTCTTCATTTTTTTAGTTTTAGTTTCACTCGATCGTCCTCGAAATAGTACTCGTACTCGACTAATATTATTATGTCGCACAGCGTCAACACCTGCGCGGTACTCGTTCAGAACCATGCATGCTGCATACTCGTAGATCTACGGTAGACCCCGTTTTTGTCCCTGATTTGCATTATTAATATTATGGCCAATGTCAATGAGCACTACCATCATGTCAGGGCGCGGGCCGGGCAATCGGCGGGCGCGGGCATGTATGCGCGCCTGGATTGGAGACAAAATTTCGAGTTGGAAAAAATATTGATTTCACGCACGCACATATCGCAGGCCTAAAAAAATACTGGATCTAGCGTCGAACGTCTAATAAAATTACGACTACGAGTACTAAGTCTTACTACTGTCTGTGCACATAATACATACATGTAGTGTGTCGCTGGTCAAAGACTGGCGCATGGCCGCCTACAATTATTAAATTTTGTAGATCGAGCGCTGTTCCGCCAGCTTCTTGCAGCTGGCCTTGACCTGACTCGATTACGCGTGTAGCCGTGTAGTGGCTGTTTCGTAAACTTTCGAAGCGAGCTGTGCAGGAGATATGCCAAAAGTTAGAAGGAAAAATAAAAGAAACTGAAACGCGCGATAGTCGCTTTCATGGTTGGGCATGTCATGTCAGGCAAATCGGCCGGCCGGGCAAGATTACTGAAACTTACTTGTGCTGTAGCCTGCAGAGCCAGTGCGGCAGTGGTGGCCTTTGTTGCAGAGGTGCAAACCGACACGTGACCGGTGGTGGCTCGGCGATTCCCGTCTGGAGACTCGACCTCTACTAGCGCTCTAGCGTTGGGTTTCACTGACATCAACCAGTACCGCTAGCACGATCAATCGCAAAAGCGCACTGTGGCTGTGTACGTAGCTTGGTGACCGTGCCAGTGCAGTGGCGGTTGAGCCCGTCTAACGCTATGTAGTCGTTGGGTAGTTTGGAACACACTCACTAGCCTGCCGCTCACACACGAACCGACACACACACACACACACACACACACACACACACACACACACACACACACACACACACACACACACACACACGCACACACACACACACACACACACACACACACACACACACACACACACACGCATACACACACGCATACACACACACACACACACACACACACACACACACACACACACACACACACATGCTGGCGGCAACTCTCTTGCACCTCGCGAGCAGACCCGTTGACACTAATACCGCAGGTCCCTCCGTCCGGGCCGGAGCGCTGAGCGACCAACAATGTCTGCGCAATCGACGGAAGACCAGGTATCGGGCACAAGCACTTCAGGGAGTATCTCTGGTGAGCATCCCATTCCGCAGCAGCAGGAACAGAATAGGCCAGAGCTAATGAACTGGCCAGCGCCAGTGGAGCGTGCGTCCAGTACACATAGTGCATCACAGGCTGCTCTGACACGTCACAGCAGCTCTACACTCGGCCACGACCGCAGCAGCGAGGGCGAGGACGAGGGCGAAGCGGCGGGAACGCTGGCGGAGTGGATTGGCCCCGGCGCCGTATCGGAGACGCGGTACGCGCACTCGCACGAGCTTGCGACGTCGCTGGACGGTTTCCGCGCACGCCACCAGCTGTGCGACGTACGCCTGGTGGCGGCCGGCGGGGGACAGTCGTTCGCGGCTCACCGCGTGGTGCTCTGCTGCGGATCGCCGTACTTCAACGCCATGTTCATGGGGCAGTTACGCGAGGCAAGTCAGGACGTCGTGGAGTTGCCCGGAGTGTCCGCCAACTGTCTCCAGTCCCTGCTGGCTTATCTGTACTCGGGTGAGATCACCATTGGCAACAACAACGTCCAGTTTCTGCTGCCGGCGGCCCGTCAGCTGCAGATCTTGCCCGTCGTCGACATGTGCTGCAGTTACCTGTCCGGCCAGCTGGACAGTCACAACTGCCTGGGTGTGCTGCGCTTTGCGCACACGTACGACTGCGCACTGCTGCGCACCCAGGCGGAGGCGTGCGCATGCGAGAACTATGCCTCGCTGATGTCGCACTGTCGCCGCGACTTCATGGAGTTGCCGTGGCAACTGTACCGTGACCTGCTGGCCAACAATGAGGTGAACGCCGTGAGTGAAGAGAGCCTGCTTGTGGACATCTTCCTGTGGCTGCGAGCGGACGCGGAGACGAGGCAAGCGTACCTCTGCGAGTTACTGGCCAAAGTCCGCCTGGCACTCCTGCCACCAGCCGTAAGCTGTTATCTGGGTTTAATGTGGCGTGGGTGAGTGAGTGTGCGCGCCCGTGTGTGTGTGCGTGTGCGTCTATGTGCGTGCGTGTGCATGTCAGACAGAAAAGAAAGGAAGTGAAAGGGGAAAATGAGATCGGGATATTATTGTAAGAAAATGATTTGCATGGGTCACTTCTTCGGTGAATTCTATTTCATTAAACTGAGAAACCATGCCTGGTGCTTCTGGTCTTCTAGAGGGCATCTGGCTACCGTATTTCCACAAATAGTAGGCCGGCCTACTATTTTTTCAACCTCGTCCTAACCCGGCCTTATAATCGAGGACGGTCTTGTATTCGAGGAGGGTCTTTTATTCTTTCAACCCAGTTTGACCCCGGTCTTCTATTTCTCGCCACACAGTTTTACCCCCGTTCTTCCATTTTCTTCTACACAGTTTGAGCACGGTCTTCTATTTTTTCCCACAGTTTGAGCACGGTCTTCTATTTTTAACACAAGAACAAAGACTCATTTAGTAGGCCCGGTCTTCTAATCGGAAACGGTCTTTTATTTTTTCAATCCCCCCTGCCCCGGCCTTGTGTACGAGGAAGGCGTTGTATACGAGGAAGGCCTTTTATTTGCGGAAATACGGTATGTTGGTTTCAGTGTTCATCACATGCCCTGCCATCACATGCCCTGTCGTTGCATGCCGTGTCATCACATGACCTGGCATCGTATGCCCTGCTGGCATGCCATCACATGCCCTGTCATCACATGCCCTATCATCACATGCCCTGGCATCGCATGCCCTGCCATCACATGCCCTGGCATCGCATGCCCTGTCATCACATGCCCTGGCATCGCATGCCCTGGCATCGCATGCCCTGTCATCACATGACCTGGCATCGTATGCCCTGCCATCACATGCCCTGCCATCGCATGCCCTGTCATCACATGCCCTGGCATCGTATGCCCTGCCATCACATGCCCTGGCATCGCATGCCCTGCCATCACATGCCCTGGCATCGCATGCCCTGCCATCACATGCCCTGGCATCGCATGCCCTGCCATTACATGCCCTGCCATCGCATGCCCTGTCATCACATGCCCTGTCATCACATGCCCTGTCATCGCATGCCCTGTCATCACATGCCCTGTCATCGCATGCCCTGTCATCGCATGCCCTGTCATCACATGACCTGGCATCGTATGCCCTGCCATCACATGCCCTGTCATCACATGCCCTGTCATCACATGCCCTGTCATCACATGCCCTGTCATCACAGGCCCTGTCATCATATTATGTGATCACGTGCACCAATGCCTGTGCCTGCTGTCGTTGTCACGCACACACGCCGCAAAGATGTGAACACTTCAACGGCTCTGTTGTCATTGTGTTTCCTCGAGTGTGATCACGCTTGCCGATGCTGTCTGTGTTGTGGCGCACACAATTTGTGCTGTTGTTGTCACTCATACTGTGTTCTGTTGTTATCTCTCATACTGTCCTACTGTGTGCCGTTGTGGCTGCAGTGTCTAGTTCAGCTGGGCATGGAGCCGGAAGTACGCCAGTGCGAGCGCTGTCGCGATCTCGTCGACCAGGCTAAGAACTTTCTTCTGCTGCCGGAGACGAGGACGCGCACCGCTGTTGCCACGGCTGCGGCGGCTGCTGCTGCATCAGCGGCGACAGCGGCCGCTGCTGGATCTGTATCTGCCCTGCAGACATCCAGTACGGGTACCGGGGTAGTCGCTGGTGCAGCAGCCGTCGCTGGTGCCGGCGTTGTGGTCTTAAGCACCGAGCCTCGTCAACCGCGACACAACGCTGTGCTGTACTCGGTGGGCGGGTGGTGTGCGGGAGAGGCGCTGGCGGAAGCAGAGAGGTTAGTGACCCACAGTATGAGATGTTAAGCGGGATTCACAGAAGCTTCGCGATGCGACTGTCGCGAAACCGGGAAATCCCCAAATCGCAGCCATCTCGCACCCCACGCAACTGCCGCAACTGGGCCATCGCAGAAGTTGAGCTTTGCTCAACTTTTGCGATGCGACAAGCGATTTGGCGTACGATTTGACCATTTCTACAGCAAAGTTGTACAAAGGTTCAAGAGTTGCCTATAAATTTGTACAAGTTGTACCAAACCGCACGAATATCATGGTGACGTACCCAAATCAGCAAGACGTTATCGCATCGCTGACTTCTTCTGTGAATGGTATTTCGCGAGTTCGCATCGCACACATCCGTTGCAGATCACGTCGCATCGCGTGTCGCATCGCAAAAAAAGCTTCTGGCTATGGCTTTGGGTAAGTTAATCTGACGATAGCTCATGCGAACTGTCATTTCCCATCTTTTTTTTAACAAGCGTTTTCTTTCCACGTTGCCGATGTGTGTGTGTGTGTGTGTGTGTGTGTGTGTGTGTATGTGTGTGTGTGTGTGTGTGTGTGTGTGTATGTGTGTGTATGTGTGTGTGTGTATGTGTGTGTGTGTGTGTGTGTGTGTGTGTGTGTGTGTGTGTGTGTGTGTGTGTGTGTGTGTGTGTGTGTGTGTGTAAAATCAGTGGCAGTCAATTCATCAGCCTTGCAAGCTGTTGAATGGTGTACTCCCAGCACAAATTGCTATGTCTAACATAGCTGTTCGCTATCATCGGTTTCGCGATGGGCAGATCTGCGGTGTGTGTGTGTGTGTGTGTGTGTGTGTGTGTGTGTGTGTGTGTGTGTGTCTGTGTGTCTGTGTGTGCATATATGTGTGTGTGCGTGTGTGTACGTGTGTGTATGAATATGTGTGTGCGTGTGTGCAGGTACGATTGGCCGAAAGACGAGTGGTCCAGCATATGCAGCATGTCCAAGAAGCGCTGTGGTGTGGGTCTGGCCGCCGTGGGTCGATACCTGTATGCCATGGGAGGTCATGATGGCACACATTACCTCAACAGTATCGAGAGGTTAGTCAACTCACAGAAATAAGGAATCTGCAGCCAGCTTGCACACTTCAGAATGCAGTGTCGGCGTCATTTCTGCACCATTTGTTTTCACGACATGCCCACTTTACAAATCGTATACACAGTGGTTAGACACCGGCCTGTATAGCAGCTTGGCCTGCATACAGGCCATGCACAGTGCAGCTTGGCCTGCATACAGGCCATGCACAGTGCAGCTTGGCCTGCATACAGGCCATGCACAGTGCAGCTTGGCCTGCATACAGGCCATGCACAGTGCAGCTTGGCCTGCATACAGGCCATGCACAGTGCAGCTTGGCCTGCATACAGGCCATGCACAGTGCAGCTTGGCCTGCATCATCAGTACAGGCCGCATGCACAGTGCAGCTTGGCCTGCATACAGGCCATGCACAGTGCAGCTTGGCCTGCATACAGGCCATGCACAGTGCAGCTTGGCCTGCATCATCAGTACAGGCCGCATGCACAGTGCAGCTTGGCCTGCATACAGGCCATGCACAGTGCAGCTTGGCCTGCATACAGGCCATGCACAGTGCAGCTTGGCCTGCATACAGGCCATGCACAGTGCAGCTTGGCCTGCATACAGGCCATGCACAGTGCAGCTTGGCCTGCATACAGGCCATGCACAGTGCAGCTTGGCCTGCATACAGGCCATGCACAGTGCAGCTTGGCCTGCATACAGGCCATGCACAGCCTGCAGCTTGGCCTGCATACAGGCCATGCACAGTGCAGCTTGGCCTGCATACAGGCCATGCACAGTGCAGCTTGGCCTGCATACAGGCCATGCACAGTGCAGCTTGGCCTGCATACAGGCCATGCACAGTGCAGCTTGGCCTGCATCATCAGTACAGGCCGCATGCACAGTGCAGCTTGGCCTGCATACAGGCCATGCACAGTGCAGCTTGGCCTGCATCATCAGTACAGGCCGCATGCACAGTGCAGCTTGGCCTGCATACAGGCCATGCACAGTGCAGCTTGGCCTGCATACAGGCCATGCACAGTGCAGCTTGGCCTGCATACAGGCCATGCACAGTGCAGCTTGGCCTGCATACAGGCCATGCACAGTGCAGCTTGGCCTGCATACAGGCCATGCACAGTGCAGCTTGGCCTGCATACAGGCCATGCACAGTGCAGCTTGGCCTGCATACAGGCCACGCACAGTGCAGCTTGGCCTGCATACAGGCCATGCACAGTGCAGCTTGGCCTGCATACAGGCCATGCACAGTGCAGCTTGGCCTGCATACAGGCCATGCACAGTGCAGCTTGGCCTGCATACAGGCCATGCACAGTGCAGCTTGGCCTGCATACAGGCCATGCACAGTGCAGCTTGGCCTGCATACAGGCCATGCACAGTGCATGCATTGATGATACGCGTACATGTACTTACAGCTAGAGGTTGTTTGCAGCTGACAAATGTGTGACCCGTCTCTGTCCCCCCCCCCCTCTCTCTTTATCTATCTCTATCTATCTCTATCTCCCTTCCTCTCTCGATCCCTCACCGTCCCTCCCTGGCAATGTTGGCCGAGCCAGGTTTGACCCATGCATCCCAGGGGCGTAGTACCCGCTACGACTGGTACGACCATGGCCGTACCACTTTTCGAAAAGCGTGGTCTGTCCGGAACGTGCAAAACCGTAATAAAAATATCAGGATCCATCGATGCATATGCGCATCAGACTTTGACCTTTTTCTAGACTCGTACTCGTAGATCTGCTATGCATCTGCAGTCGTACTGAGTACTGTACTCGACTCGACTGCACACTGCGCCAGAACCTTCATCATTTTGCGAGAACTGTGGCAATACGCCCAGTGAGAAGGCAGATTTTGCCTGTGCTTGTTCTGGTGAAGTAAAATATAGCTAAACAAACAAAACAAACAAGTGTGCCAGAAGTTCCCAGAACGCAGGGTTTTGTGTCTCTTTACAAAATTTTCCCGGGGGGAGGTCACCCTCCAACACGGCCTTCGGCCGCACCGACCTTCGGTCGTACCACTTCCAAAACCCCTCCTACGTCCCTGCGTACAAGTGCTGTTCTCTGCTCTCCACCCTCTTCAAGGGCATACAACTGACAATGCACTCACTCTCCATCGCCATGCCACATACACATGTATGTGCTCAACTTGCATTCTCTCTCTAAACTGAAACTGGCCTGTCTGGTCATGTGACTGGCCTGTCTGGTCATGTGACTGGCCTGTCTGGTCATGTGACTGGCCTGTCTGGTCATGTGACTGGCCTGTCTGGTCATGTGTCTGGTCATGTGACTGGCCTGTCTGGTCATGTGACTGGCCTGGCTGGTCATGTGACTGGCCTGGCTGGTCATGTGACTGGCCTGGCTGGTCATGTGACTGGCCTGTCTGGTCATGTGATTTGCCTAGGTACAACCCAAAGGACGATACATGGCAGGCGTGTGTCGTGTCACCCAGCTGCGAGGTGCGCACCAGCGTTGGTATCGGCGTCATAGACAGCTGTATATACGCTGTTGGCGGACAGGTAAGTGCTTGCCTGCGTTAACTGTGCTCCGCACTTGAAAGTACTTGCACACTGTAAAAGCCATTTTTCTAACGAGGTGAATACAGGTGGAATCCTGATAATTCGAACCTCAAAATTAGGGCTGAAACGATCAACCAATATCATTAACGATCGATATATTGGTTTTATCGATTCTTGTCGGCTCTACCGTGTACCTCGAACACCAGTTTATGAAAAAATTCCACGATACCTTTGCTACGTTAGAAATTTGTGGCACTGCACTGTTGACATCTGTAGACATCTGGCTGGTTTATCAACATGACCTAGAGAATTTCATGTTGTTTCTAGAGCGAAGAATCTTGTCATCACCCTCCGGCAACTGCTCTTATCTCCGACCTTTCCCGCAAATGAACTGAAAAGACAAAGAGTATTCTCTCCTGATCTCTTTCAAAGCCACAAATCAATTTTACTGCGCTTGAAAGTACATGATTGTACTCGTATTCACTATCGGATGGAGTGCAAGGGCTAGAATACTGTCACTCATATACATGCATAAAAAATCGTTAGCACTCGTTTTGAACACCAACGATTATCGATTGCACTCTTAACCCTTATCCGACCGTCAAAGTGGCCAAATTCTCAGTCCTAGCGAGACGCCGCGACTCATTTTGTTGATAACTTTAGTTTCCCTTGGGTGATATTGGCAAACTTGGGCTTTTTGGAAAGCTTGAGCCATGAGGAATTCTCTAGAAGCAGTTTCAAGTCTAGCCTTTATTTGTAAGACGAACAAAATCCATCTCCAATTCCATTTTTTGAAGAGAAGTGCGGCTCATCGACATGTGGACCATTTGTAGTCTTAATTTTGTACTTTCATGGTGACACGTTTTGAATATACCATCAGGGAAGCATCCAGGCAAAGTTTTAGGAGGGCAATATAATCATTTCCAATGTTACACCATCTGCAAACTTGTTTCGTACGCGGTATGAAAACAGACCTCACTCAGAGACCTATAACTTCTCTTTGAAAGATGCTAAGACGCTCCGGTCTTTTGCAAATGAATGGTGGGTCTTTCCAGCTTCTTTTGAGACCAAAATGGTGCAGATTCGAGGAAAAATAAGTGAGTTATAGCTTGTTAAAGTCATCGACGGATAGTCGTCGATTTTTGACTGGCCGGTCGGATAAGGGTTAACGATCGATATGCGAGTTATCGGTATAATTGTTTCAGCCCTACTCAAAATGCCAGGAAAAACTTCTAATTATCCGGACATTCGAATTATCCAAACATGCACCCACAACACAATATGTATGCCAAAATGCTCTCATGGTCACGCAGACTCGGTTGCGCTATGGACCTTAGACACAGATTTCACAGATACTGAACTGACCGGCACAGCCTGCTCATGCAAACTGAACTGACCAGTACAGTGTACACTGAAAGGCTTCGGATTACATTTTGCTAACTTCGAATTATCAGCACAAACCCCGCGCATTTTCTATGTAAGTGGAATCTGTGGGACTTCTAATTAACCGGACATGTCCAGTTCGAGGTTCGAATTATCAGAATTTGCTTATGAGGGAATTGTAAATTGACTGGTTTACGTGTACCAAAGGTAACGCATGATTCTCACTCAACTCATTCTCAACGCTCAATGGAACAGTATAATTATGTATCGATTATCGATTTCTATTTTAACGACAGATTTCTCCTCGTTAACTTGTAAGGATTAGCACTTCGTTAGTTAAATATTATGGCTTTTACAGTAATCCATTGTAGGAGGCTGATGACTCATTATGACTCAATAGGAGTGACTGCATTTTGATGGCTGTTATTCCAAACATATTCAAGTTGCTCTAATGCCGGTGCAATGACCGAACGAATATTCTCCTCCTCTCCATATATTAGCAGATGAAGATCTTGGCAGAATGTCAAGTCACAGGTACTGTTTTTTTATTTTTTATTTTTACAAAGACCACTTACACTTAAATGCCAAACATGAGACGCAGCTAGGTGTGTGACGAGTTTTGTCATTGCTGTTGCTATGCCGACAGGATGGAGTAAGCTGTCTAAACATTGCCGAGCGGTACGACACGGAGACTGGCCAGTGGACTCGGCTGGCGCCGATGAGAGAGAAACGTCTCGGCGTCGCCGTCGTCGTGCTCAACAATCTCCTGTACGCGATCGGCGGCGGAAACGGTGGCGTGTTGCCGCTGTGCTCGGCTGAAAGGTATGCCGGCGATATGCAACTACTGTTTAGACAGTGGAATAAGATCCTCAGGCTGCGTATAGTGCTCTCTATGTGTGTCCAGTGGACACAGTCAGTAATAGCATACTCACACAGCAATAACACAACCAAGTCCTTTTCATGCTGTCTGATGAGTTTTTCTTCTTTTTTTAATATTATTAACACGAAAGTCTGCGTAACGGCAGAAAAGGACTTGGTTGTGTGATTTCTGTGCGAGTAGTGCAGCCACACTTCATTCACAAACGCTGTACTGTCTTGTATTAAAGCCTGTCTCGTATTGAAGCCTGTTTTGAATACAAGTAGAAGACTGATTTTCAAGATTCACTGTCGACATATGAGCCTGGTGTTAGTGTTGACATACGTAGTAAGGCCTGGTTCGAATAGAAGCCTAACTACAAAATGTACGTCGGAAGGAGATTGCAAGTGGGGCGGCCAATTGTGAAGGGGGGGGGGGGGGGGGACGGCGGCTAGGCAATTGAACGCAATAGTACAATGAACACTACAGCAGGATCCTAGGAGGGGGGGGGGGGATACTGTCAGCCCACCAGTGCACACTAAGACCATCATAGCCAGGAAGAGATCGAATGCATGCCAGTTATGTCTTGACAAGCGCAAGTCTTGACAACTGTATGAAGTTGGAGTCGGAGTCGTCACTGTGATCACGTAATGGTAGTCCCTGGCGTGCGAGAAAGCGCAGCGAGGACAGTATCTTGAGGAAGCAGTGCTGGTTCTCTACTTTCTCGCGCTGGTGTTGCGCTGACTGGCTCTCTCCCATGTCCACTACCGCGCCTGGTAAACTCACAACTTTCAGGACAGCTTCCTTATGACACTTGGAGTTCTGGTGCGCATCGTACTTTATCGTCGCATCTTTTCAATTCGAGAAGCCTATATCGATGAACGCGCCATCTGCATTAGCTGACCACACCAACTTTCCTTCTGCGTGAGCGCGGAAGCAGGTGAAACAAAACACTACATCTCTGGCCTCAGAATAATGCAGCCATGACCAACGATCAAACCACTTGGCCTGGAAAGCACGTTTCACGACAGACTTCTTCTCAAACTCTCTTTTCGGGAAGTCAAAACCTCTTGGTTGATGGGGCGCATCAGGAACTACTTCAGCCTCCGCCATGATGAGCGCACCATAATCAAACCAAATTAAATTTATCAAACTAAGTAAGTTGGAGCAGAACGGCGTGCTGTCTGTAGTGACTAGTGTTAGGGAAAACCTGCCTGCTGCAGTAACGCCGATTATGTTGCGAATCCGACGGTGCATGCTAGATTAGGTTAGATGTGCAACAGTTACTAGACATGTCCGGTTGTCACCGACCAGCAGCCAGCAGCTAGAGCAGCTGAACCCAGAGGTTACGCAGGCACTTCAAAGTTCAGCGAAATACGGCATACTGCACCACGTCACCACACGTACAGATGTGCACTGCATGTACTGCATGCATGCATGTACTGCATGCACTTACCCCCCTCCCCCCAAATTGGCCCGGAAAGTGGGGCGGCCATGGCCGCCCCGGCCGTTGCGGTTCCGACGCCCCTGTAACTTGAATAGAAGCCTGTAGCACCGGCCTGTTTTCAGATCCGGCGCAGAAATCCAATTCTAATTCAGCCGGAAATGGAGTTGAGACCAGCGGGTCTGAAAAATGATCAAGCACGCGCGCGCGCGCACACACACATACACACGCACACACACACACACACACACACACACACACACGCGCGCGCGCGCGAGCACGCGCACACACACACACACACATCCACATGCACACATGTCATTATTATTTTAGCAATGGTGCGTCTGAGTTGTGTGAATGTGTGTACTGTGCATGCATACATGTGCACGTGTGTGTGTGTGTGTGTGTTTCATTCAGATACGACCCGGTGGAGAACGTGTGGCAGAGCATAGCGCCGATGCTCACGCGCCGCAAGCACCACGGCGCGGCCGCGTTCAACAACCGTATATACGTCGCCGGCGGTCGCGACGAACACTCGGAGCTGAAAACCGTGGAAGTCTACACTCCCATCAACAACATGTGGTCGCAGGTGGTGCCAATGCGTAGCTATCGTAGTGGCGTGGGTCTGGCCGTTGTCGGCGCTCGTCTGTTTGCTGTCGGCGGCTTCAACGGCACGCTGTACCTGCGCACAGTGGAGCTGTACGAGCCCGACGCGGACAGATGGACAGACGCGGGCGAGATGATCAACAGGCGTCTCGGCGGCGGCGTGGCCGTCATCAACGCTGCGTACGCCTCGCTGCCGCCGTCGCCGCGCTTCCAGCCCATGCCCGGCCTGTCGTAGAGATTGCCATGGCGACGGCGACTAGGGTACTACTGCCATCGCCAGCAGCGGCAGCAGCAGTGAGGACGTTCCAGTGAGGATTTCCGACTTTCAACCGACTGTTTGTGCTTCGGCACCCGCCAGCACTCTATAGCCACTACCTGGGCCGCCAGCAGCAGCAGCAGCCACTACCTGGGCCGCCAGCAGCAGCAGCAGCCACTACCTGGGCCGCCAGCAGCAGCAGCCACTACCTGGGCCGCCAGCAGCAGCAGCAGCCACTACCTGGGCCGCCAGCAGCAGCAGCCACTACCTGGGCCGCCAGCAGCAGCAGCCACTACCTGGGCCGCCAGCAGCAGCAGCAGCCACTACCTGGCCCGCCAGCAGCAGCAGCCACTACCTGGGCCGCCAGCAGCAGCAGCAGCAGCACAGTGTGCACAATCTCTCTTGTATCAGACTCATCGAGAAGCCGGGGCAATTAGTATTCACTCATCTTCATCTGGAGCATAATTATAACTATGTGTCTCTATGTTCGGTCACTTAATTCTTCGCCCACAATGATCCAGTCACTCTCCTCGCATTCATCCCCAAACTCCTGCCCCGAATTTTATCAAAATCAAACGAAATGCTTTATCGGCAGCGACACTACGCCTGCCGAACATGGCTTCCGCCAGACCGACCTAAATTCAAAGGAAGTTCCAAGAATATTATACCTGCGCTGGCACTTCATATTGTTCAATGCTGCTGATGATATAGTGGATCACTTTCCACCACTTCAAGCGAACAAATTTGTCTGTTTTGCCAGCTTTCAGGATTACGATATTGACCATAACTACGCGTGAAATATGCGTATTAGCATTTCCATATGTACAAATTGCCACCTTCATGGTTCCCCATGTACTTGCTCCTCAACGTATTCCTCTTTACAATATTCACGTGTGTTCCTGAGCCAAATTCGCCCTCTTATTGATGCATGTAGTATGTGGGAGTCATATGATGCCGTGCGGTAATTCTAGGTAGCACCCCCTGGCATTTCGGAACAGTACTCAAATTTTGGAGATACAGGCCACTAACACAATACAAAATGAATAAGAGTCACAACATTTGGGGGATTCTAACCGCCCATATCACGGCAATCACATTTTGAAATTCGCAAATGCATCACATGATGCCTCTGGTAGTTCTAGGGTTAATTTACACTTTTGCCTCCACTAGTCTGGTGATTTTTGATTTCAGCAGTTTTATCAGGTTACTACAACTGGAGGGAACATGTCATAATAATCAATTTCATCATGATAGTACAGTGCGTATCGGTTATAGCGTGGTCGTGTAAAAGAATATACTGCCTACAAGAATGAACTCTCATGTTTTCATAATCATAACATGGGTTTCATGTGTATTTATCGCGTGTAAGAAATATCGGAAATAAGAATAGAAAGTCGTTTTTCAAACACTCACGCTATCCAAGAGTACATGGAAACCAGAGTGTGCAGCTTGGGGTCTACTCTGCTATGGGTGTCTGTCACGGCGAAATTCCGTGATTACATCATATTTGGTGCAGATCTGAGGCGGGAAATGGCGTAGTGCATACAACTGAGCTGCAGTTGTGCAGAAAGAGGCCTGCTTGTACGCACTACATCACTAAAATGATGTAATCACGGAATTTCGCCGTGACAGCAACCCATCCGAGCTGCACACTCTGGTTTTCATGTACTCTTGGTATAACCGATACCTACTGTATAATGATGTTGGCAACGACCGTTATATTGATACAACCGGGCACCTACATATATTTTGAAAATTCTGTCTCCGCCAGACGTCAACTTTGCCAGTTTCCAGTGACCACCAGCTACACGGCACACTGTAGGAGAGACTGGATGAACGTGCCTTCGCCACCAGACGCTACCGGCGTGCTCTGCTGCATGCCAAGCACCACACACCAACCGCATGCCAACAAGCACCGTACAACACACAGCCAGCTAGGTATAATGAGGAACTAGTTTTTGTCATGGACCACAGAGGGCACAATCCTGCATGCAACGATTACGACGTCCATGACGCGACAAAGAAGAGCGAGAGAGCGAGAGAGAGAGAGAGAGAGAGAGAGAGAGAGAGAGAGAGAGAGAGAGAGAGAGAGAGAGAGAGAGAGAGAGAAGAGAAACACATACACAGCTACGATTAAGTTCTAAGATAGGGATAATGGAAGAGAAGAGGCTTGATAGGGAGAAACAATTCCTCTAATGCAGACGAAGGAAAGCACAGAGCTGAGCAGTTTATCATTAGCTGTATGGGATTTGATGAGAAGAAAAGCGATTTTAGATTGTAGTTATGAACAAGCACATGAACCTAGGATGTTTAGCATGCTGGATAGTAGATAAAGGTATGGCTGGCAAGGTGGTCGCTGTGCAGAGAGCGAGCGAGCAACGACAGCACGCACGCATGCTGCACTGCACAGCTATCCTATGCCAGAGAAAACAGATACGTGGTGGGCATGAATGAGAGGTGGACTGTACAACGTTCTCTAAATATAATGATAATGTTTACTGCGTGTACGTCGTACAAACTATAATTTGACGGGTGTGCTTGCTTGCTATGTGTCGAGTATGGGCAGGGAGGTTGCACGAACAGGACGGATGAGACGGAATACAACAGGGGCGAAAAAAGAGCGTTTAACAGACAGCCAGCTGGATAAGAAATGTGTGTTCAGATAGCTACTATGTACATGCAGGACAGCGACAGTGACTTGCTGACGAAAGACAGAATGAAGATGGATGAAGCCAAGTTCAGGGAAACAGGAACGGACAGACGGACCGGGGGGGGGGGGGGGGGGGAGCTGTACACTCAAGGCGAGGGCTCAAGTCGTTTCAGTACAGACTGGGAAGAGCGGACGGGTTTCGTAAAAAAAGAGAGAGAAGAGAGAACACGATGTGCCCATGGCAAGGCAGCCGAGCATGGCAATCCAATGCAGCCACAACGACATAGCGTACTATCAACAAGGAGCAATAGGAGAGAGACTCACGTACATTATGGCTGACTGCTCAGCTGTTAGCGGTGGCCCCCGAGTGCTGTTTCTTCAGTCGTCGCAGCATCTGCGCCGAGTGACCGGCCTGCACCGTGCAGCGGCTGACCGGCTGGAGCCACGGCTCGCCATCAATCTGCACGGGCATTGGCGAAGCCATGGTCAGGACGAGGCTGGAGCCCTGCGCAAGTCGCAGGCCGCCGCGTATGTTACCTTGGATCTGGCCAAGGTGCATCACGCCCTGGACACCGATCACTTCCAGCATTCCGTCGTTCAGCGCTGCCGGCTTGAACTTGTCGTCGCGATCCGATCCCCACGCGTCACACCCGGCCATCCAGCTGCTGATGTTCAAGATAATGATGCCTTCCACACCGCTGGGCATCTTGACCAGCTCACCGTCCACTTCGATCGAGAGCACGCGCGGAAGCTGCTTGCAGAGGTTGCCGCTACGTTGCATCATCTTGGCCAGCGACATCTTCAGGTACATCCCCTTGTTGTGGATGCGGCTGTTGAACTTCTCCGGGGCTTCCTCGCGCTTCAAGTGGAACTTGAGGGCAATGTCGGCATCGATGCCCACGCCGAAATAGTTGTTCATGATGAACGTTTGCGACTGCTCCTCCATGGCCGTGGACCAGTGGTTCACGGAGCACGCAAGAAAGGACTCGACTGTCATGAGGCCGGCGTCCACTTCTCCTGGCACGTGCGCTTCACCATCGGACGTGATCAGGTTGTCGACGGCGCTGCGCGTGGCCCCGGCGTCGTTCTCAAACCGGATCACCCACCGGTCCATGGAGATGGTCTCGCTCTCGTTGATGCCGATCAGCAGCTCCAGCACATTGCTGCTGGACGTGCCGACACCAGAGCCCCACTTCATGACGCGCGCCAGGTCATTACCCGTACCCAGGGGTATGACGGCCACCGCTGGCGATTGGCACTTCAGCATCGGTCGCAGCTCGTCGAGCAAGCTGAGCACCCAACCGACGGTCCCGTCACCGCCGCACACGACCAGGCGGTAGGACGGCACGTTGCGGAACGCGTACAGACCCGGCAGTGGGCCACCGGTTGACAGGTTGAACACCTGGTGCGGGTTGAGAAAGCGGCGGAATGCTGTCAGCAGGTTGACACCCTGGCCGCCTCCGCTGCGCTCATTGACAAAGGCCAGCACAGGCGAGCAGTCGTCCTTGATAATTTCTGGCACAATCTCCGGAATGATAATCACTACAGGTTTCTTCTGCTCGATCAGCATAGCCGTCTTCAGCTGAAGGTAGGCCTCTAACGCGTCAGCGCTGTTCGTGAACTGAATAATAACCGCGCCAAACGTTGGGAAGATAGGACCGATCTCCACTTTGCCGGTGCCGATGAGACCCATAGCTTGCTTCAGCTTCTCGCTGTAACGCTCAACCTCCCAGCTAGTGGGCAGGTTGCCTACATAGAGGTGGACGCTGTTTTTCGTGCGCAGGTTTTTCAGGTAGAAGCGCGTCAGCTGGACATGGCGAACAGACCGCTTACCGGCGTCGTGCAGGATCTTCCATGGCTTCTCGTGAGTGTCCAGCAACCGCTCGCGAACACCTTCGAAAAGGTTCACTTCGATAAGGCCGAAGTCATCCAGGTCAGTGTCTGCGAAAGGTATGCCATACTTGGTTAGCGCAGTGGCCACTACCTCTTGGGCCGTGGTGATTGGCGATACTGACAGCGTTTTGAAGTCGGCAGCGGAGGGGAACTGGCCTGGGAAGACCCGAATAACCATGTCCTCGTTCTCCGACGAACGCGAGCGTATGACGAGCGGTGGGCCGTTTTGGAGCGCTGCAACGGTACACTCTGATAGGTCATCGAGTGGCGCAACCATGGCGCCTCTCTCCACGCCAATCATGAACATTCTGCTATCTGATGCCGGCACTTGATACTCCTGCAGGGCACAGGACAGGATTTCCGTTGCCGTAGCATCAGACGACACACGTATAGACTTATACTGACGCCGGGAATGGCCATCGTATACTTTCAGCTTTATCGTGTTGCTACAAATCGACATTCCATCACTGTTTGCATCACTGATGCTCACTGTATCTTCTAGTGCTGTTGAACACGATACACAGTCAGTTGACAAGTCCTCGCGGCTGCCAAACATACTACTCCGGGATGATGAGGGGCCCGAGACAGTCATGGCCATGTTCGGCATCGACACTGATGCTGGAGGCAACATCAGGTGCTTCAAAGCTCCAAACTCACAGGAGATATCCAGAAACTGGCGACAGCTGGAGTGCACGGTTTTGCAGCACCACGCACAGCGTAGACTCACTAGACACTCCTGGGAGCTGCAGACATTCTTACACACAGCACACTTGGAGGATGGCTTGAGGTTGCCTTCTCTCCAGTGATGCAGCTGCACTCCCAACTCTTCTGGGGGCACATGTGGATTGTACGTGGCCACACGCTTGCAGTCCTGCACGCAGAACTGATTACAGCTAGCATGTACATAGTACTTGCAGACTTCACAGCGATATCCAAGGCTGTCGTCCATTCGCTTCCTGCACACATTGCAGAAAGTACGCTTGAACTTTTGTTTCTCTCCCCAGCGGTGCGCGACGGGGTCCTTGACAAGAACAGGAGCCACGCTTGTACAGGGTGTTGTTACATCGTTCATGCACTTTTCGTGAGTGACAAACCGGCAGACTTTGCAGGTATAGCCGGAAACCCAGACATGCTCTCCACAGTAATGGCATACACTGCCAGGTCGAAACGTCTTCTTGTGATACGTATGGCTGCCTGATTTATCCGCACTGCCTCCTCCATTGGACATCGTGCGGGCAAAGGAAACGAGCTTTCTACTGTCTAGTTGTGTCGCAGATGCGACCTTCAAATGACTCCTCACACCTTTTCTCCGAGCCTACATGAAAACTACGAAACAGTAAACCATGGTAAACAAACAAGAAAGTACCGAAAATTCATTGTTGACTGGACTGGTGTGAAGTTGTGGGCGACTGGCGGCCGTGTGACTGACACTCAAACTCTGATCTGCCCCTCATTCAGTGCCCCAGTACAGCAGGTCTCTGCACTCTGCACTGCACAGATCTTGTCATGCACGCTTCCACACACGCTTCCGCTCTCTGCGGCTAGGCTGGGTGTGCGGGTGTTCAGTGCGCCACCGTGGAAGTCGGAACGAGTCCTTTTGTTTTGATCGTGCTACTCGTTGCGGAGCGCTAGCGCACGATGTACAATGAAGCAGGGAGTAGTAAAATATCGGTAATTTACTACTCGCGGACTGGAAGAAGTCCGGTTCGCATGCGCGCATGAGCAGATTCCACAAACGCGGGAAAATAATGGAGAAAGCATGCAGTATTGATTTCAAACTTCAAATAATTGTTTTTAGTTACTTGAAATTGCCATTTGAATACCTTATCAATTACACTGCATGCTTTCAATTTACTTGCTGGAGCAGCAAGGAAAGTACAATGTTTCAAGAGAGCAAAAGGAAGGTGCGGGCCAATTTTACGGCCATTTTTGAGAAATACTCAGACGACACTCCGTCCGATGTGGTCGACTTGCGAACTTTTAAAATTGTGAAAGACAGAGGCCAGATACGGAATATGAAAGAAAGGCGTGGTGTTGGATGCGCTGCAGTATGGCAAGAGGTGGAGGCTGGCAATGCTTCTTTGGACATGTTCGTGGAGAATGCACCGTTGCCGTGCTGGGCAGACGATGTTGAAGAGGCTGAAGACGTCGACGTCAAGCACTTTGTTAGTTGTCTGAGGGACAGAAGTGACGCGATGGTCAAAGTCCTGTCGCAGAATCGTGCCTTGGACCCGTCCGAGCTTGCTCTTTGGTCAGAATCAGGTATGTTGTGATTGCAAATTTTCATTTTATGATGCTAAAAAGCTTCTCAACTCTAGTCTTAGGGCATGTGCGATTGGTAAGGATCGGGATCCAGATCTTAGATCCTTCGGATCCTTCAGATTCAACTGAACACTTTATTTTGGACCTTGACTGTTGCCATGTTGACAAGTCACCCAAAAAGGGTGAGCGTCGTACTCACCGCGTGCGTCGTACAAAAAGTCAACAAGCTCTATATCCATCCACGTGTGCGTACCACAATGTGTACAAAAATGATTTTTACCCGCCAGATACGCACAAAGGTCACATTTGGATCCGGTCAACCCTGCTCCCCGAGGTGGGTTGACCGGATCCAAATCCAAAGGATCTGGATCCGGATTCGACCAATCGAAAGGGTGCGAATCCAGTGGATCCGGTGGATCGGGATCCCGATCCTACCAATCGAACGTGCCCTTAAAAAACCCCTATAATTATGATCATACAGAATAATTTAGAAAATCTCACCTTTGACAGAACATCGAAAGGTCAGAAAAGAATTGAAATCAAGTAGGGGTAAAGCGACCGACCAAACTTCCTTATCCACTGTCTTGAATCTTTAGGCCCAAGATGGCAGATGTCGTATCTGCTCACGGGGAGACAGATGAATCCCGGGACATACCACCCTGGTGCCTAATAAATACAACTGCGAGGGAGAGGGCAACTTTGTCTAATGGTTGGTGTTTATTTAGAACAAAGAGGAAGAAATGTTTCATGCGCATGCGTATGTATCTGGTGAGGGAGCTGACGTCATGCAGCGAGGTCGCTATGAATCCTATCTACTGCTTGTCGCCTGACATTGTCCTATGCGCGAACACATACCCATACTTGCCAACCCCACTGGAGTTTCCGGGAAAATCCAGGAAAAAGTTGCTTTCGTCCCGGCATACCGGAAAAGCTATAGCATCTACTGGGTTTTCGAAAAATGTCCGTCAGCACCTTTTTTTTTGTTGTTTTCAGTTTTTCAATGCTCGCGTGCATAGCAGCTACAAGTGCTGTGCCCACAACGAAGCTCTATAGCGAGCATGTCCTCTTGGGTTAGCGGTTGAACAAGTACGTTTTGTCGTACATGCTGTACTATTTGCGAATGCTTGTGCAGATCAAGGAAAAATGGGCAAAATCAAGGAAAAACCTCCTCGGTGCCGAGGAAACTGTTTGCCAGAGGTTGGCAAGTATGCATACCCACTGGGTGCGTTCGATTTTGCCGACGAATCGATGTTGAATCTATTCATGAATCACCCTTGGCTATTCGCATCACCCCATGTGAATAGGATGGATCGATTACGAACCGATTCCAGGGCTCAAGACATGAAATCGAACGACGAGATTCCATCCATGAATCGATTTGGGGCAGTACAGCTAGAGATATTGACTTTACTCCCTCGCACCCAGACGCTGTTTTTTTGGAAACAAGTTGTTATTCATGTACTTCCGATGGGAGAATCCGACATTGCAGTGCTTTTCGGCGTGGCCAGGTCAAATTGTAGAATATCGCATCGAGTGGGTTGCTTTATCTGAGAGAGGAGATGTTCGTGCCCTTGAGACCCGAAGTCCAATTTCCATACGACAAACTTCAGGAGCTCTGCGTTCCGCGCTTTTTCAGGGTTTGAATTTCGGGTTCTTCTGGTTGGGTCGCAGCGTCGCGGACTATTCCATCGTCTTCAGCGTCGAAAAACTACTGGCCATGTGAACTTACAAGGCGGTGAGAAGCTTTCGTCTTCCTCTACGAGCGAATTTGTTCTGCGCCAGCATACCAAAGTATGCGATTTCGTACGCAGTTCGAGTGACGAGGCGTGTGCACTGGCAGTCTGTACACTATACGGCATGCACTGAGTGTGGGGTCGGTCTCGATTCTCCCATCACTCCCATCACTCCCATTCATTTCTGTTTCCAGCGAAAGTCCAACTTGGCGCACTTCAAATTACTATAATGGGCCATTCACACTACGCCCAAAATGTGGCGTACGTGACGTTTTTGTCCGGATAGCCATGACAACATGGAACAGGGCGGGAAAATCGTACCCCTGATACGAAAACGTAGACGACGTATCCAGACCCCTGTACCGAGTTTCGTTCTGTCGTTCCCAGCAGTTTGTGTCCAAAAGACGCTGTACACACAGTTGTACGAGCAGCGTGTGCGCGCCTGTGTGAATGCTCCTGCATGAAAACGACGTCTGCCAGTACGTCGTATTCCAAAACGTGACGCATATTGTAACGTAGTGTGAATAGCCTATAACTCAAGAATGGCTGGGCCGATTTGAATAATACTTGCAGATTGCCTATGTACTACGCCTGGGAGAATCAAATGAGACCAAAATCGAAGCGATCGGAGCAAGTTTAGGAAATTGGGTGTAGTCACTACTAGAGATCTGTTATAGTGTTGGTGTTTGAAGAAGAGTGATGTGATCACTATAGACAATTATTACTACATGCAGGAGTGCATAAACAAGAATATGCAACTTTAAGCATTTAAACCAGGCCCGAACGTACCTTGCCAGAGTGCTATAACTGACAAGTAGCCCCAAGAGTATGTGGGGAACTTAGAGGTGCTGAATCTTTCTGAAGCACCACCTTGCGCTTACATCTCCTGATCTGTTGTTGTTTTGGCACCTGTGCCTGTGGTGCTGGCCTAGCGTTCTGTGGTGTCAGCACATTGCTTTCACGCTTGTGTGCTGGATCTTTCTAGTGCGTGGGTGGGTGGGTGTGGGGGGGGGGGGGGGTGCATGTGTGGGTGGGTGCATGCGTGACCCTGTCACCTGACCTCTGTCGCCGTCTGTATCCGAGATGACTGCGTGTGCCTAAAGTGTAAGCCCTCGGGCACCTGGCTGCGGAGGTGTGCAGCATGCATGTAGCCCTCGGGCACCTGGCTGCGGAGGTGTGTAGCATGCATGTCGGTGCAACGTTTCACCATTGTGCGACCTGTCGTCGCCTGCTTTCTATAACTGTCAGGTGCTGCTGGCGTTTGCTTGTTCTTTTGTGTTTCCGTCTGAAGAAGAGGGGTTTTAGCGGAGAGCTTGTCCGATGTTTGCTGGGTCTGAAGTGTCATAAGTTGTCTCGTTGTTTGTAGGTCCCTTCCTGGCTGATGATAGAGAAGCGATGGCGTGGCAGTACCCTTTGCTTTCCCTAATAATGCTGTCACTGCAGCTTAGCGTAGCTTAGCGTACCTGTACAGTGGGCTGTGGTGCCGCGCCACGGTGCTTTATTCACGTTTGGAGGGCATATGCTGCAGACCGCTTTCCACGCCGTCCCTATGTTTACTGCCCGGATCCTATGTGTACGATGCTGCAGTGCTGAGCACCTTGTGGAACAAAGCTGCATGTTGTCTGTGCAGTGGTGGCGTGCAATGCATGTTGTCTGTGCAGTGGTGGCGTGCAATGCATGTTGTCTGTGCAGTGGTGGCGTGCAATGGATCATGGTTTTGTGTATACATGTGCATCTTTGGTGTCGCGGTCCCTGAAGACCCTGTGCTGACCGACGTTGTGGTGTGCTGTTATCGTGATCGTTTGTGTGTGTGTGTGTGTGTGTGTGTGTGTGCGTGTGTGTGGGCGCGTGTGTGTGCGCGTGCACGTTCTGTGTGTGTATATGTGTGTTGCTGCTTGTCAGGCAACACCACAGCAGGTGACAAGTCCTGTCGTGCATCATTACCATCGGCCCAGCACTCTGCAATCCAGCAGGACCCAGCGTTGTCCGGTTCACCAGCCCCGTCGTCCGCAACAGCCGCACGATCACCTGTGCGTGCAATGACACCGTCACCAAAGTGCCTTGTGACACGAGCGGAAGAATGCGGTGTGCTGCCGATGTCTGCAACGCCCGAATGCCCTGCGACGTTATCGGAGACGGCTGAACGTACTGCGCCTTCCGAGCGCCCTGCAGCATCATCACCAGTCGGCACGACCGCATCATCAGAAACAACGCAATGCCCTGCGACACCGCTTCCAGAATGTATACCCTCATCAGCGCAAGGTTATGTACCGTCGACGCCCACGTCATCTATTTCAGCTTGTGGTTCAGTTGTAGACGTCCTCCCGCCTGACCGGACACCCGTCACACAGCCTCTGCCTTCGCACAAACTTCTCCGCTCTGCGTCACGACAGCCGAGCACACCAGCAAACACCAGCACCACCACCAGCACCAGCAGCAGCACCTGTCGTGACCCTGCCACACCTGGCAAACTAACGTCACTGTCGCGGCTGACCTGCGCCCAAAAGCGCGTGATAGCCATGCGTCTGCGCCAGCTATCCCCGCATTTCTCCGCCTGGCAGCTACGCAGTCGGCGATGCTCGTCGCTGTGTTCCGACTCCATTGCCGACGACACTTCACACGTCGGTAGAGCGTCGTCGCCAGTGTGCCCGTTATCATCGTGTGCTTCGGACACGCCAACGAGACCTAGATCGGTGCATATGCCTGTTGCGACTCTGCCACTGAACACCAATCCAGCAGCACCAGCAGCAACGCCAACAGCAGCCACAACAGCAGCACCACCACCAGCAGCAGCAACAACAGCAGGGTCGGTGGCGGCGGCAGAGGCAGTCTCACCAGTGCTGCCAATGCAGTCAGACTTATCTATGGAGACGTCCGTAACAACAGCAAGCACTCCATCCACGCCACCTTGCCTGCAATCTATAATAGAAGCGGCGGCTGCTGCTGCTGCTGCTGAGACTGCAAAGGCACTGCTTAAATCGCCATCGAGGTCTGCGGCAACCGCATATCCGCCACTCTCTCGTGTACAGCCACAGCGGCAACCTCGAGTTTGCCACAAAGTACCACCGCTATCGTCAACGGCAGCAACAACGGCAGCTCTACCGTCATCATCGTCGTCGTCTGCAGTTCAGACCAAGCAACAGCAAGGACGAGTTCCACACCAAGAATCACCAGCAGCACCATCACCATCAGTGGCATTAACAACAACAATAACAAGAACAACAACGGCTTTACCAATGCCCGCTCACCCAACCACACAAGTTCCACACCGAGAACAGCAGCGGAATAACGAAACGGAGCCACGCATTCTCCGCTCGTCATCCTATGTCGTCAGGCGCCAGCCAAGGCTAGCGAGGCGATTGGCGGAGATACGTGACAAGTATCGCCACTGTGCTTGAGACGTGCCTCTCGTCTGCTACTTCACCGCCCGCACGCTTAGGCCATGTTTAGTTTATTTGCACTATCATGCACGTTGCCGTTCGGTTAGGCCTGCGTAGCTGTACATGCATGCACTGGCTTCTCCCCTTTTCTTTTTTTGTTTTGGTGGGAGCAGCTGGACATTGTTGTCTGTCTCTCTCTCTCTTCTCTCTCCGAGTCTCCTCTCCCCCCTCCCTCTTCAGTGGATCCAGCATGCAACCAATTGTTATTCTCCGCTCTCTCTTGTCACAGGCAGAAGACCCAATCCCCTCCCCCATCCCCATCTGCTTACAATACACGGCAGACATGCAGCCAGTAGAGTGTCGTTCACACAGCCCAGGGCTCAACATCAAGATTCCTGCCACATAGATTATTTACATATATCCCCTATGGTATTTATGCTAGTCAAAACATATCCGGTTCTCCTGTTTCTTTTTTCCGCCCCTCCATGCACAAAGCCGGCTCATAGCATCCGCATTAGAGTTCAAGTGGACCCGCCACAATATTTCACGTTTAGCATAGAAATGGCAAACAAACAAGATACACACACACAGACAAGACACACACAAAAACATAAACGGGAGGAGATATTAAAAAAAAGAAAGAAAAAGAGATTCGGATAATAAACCGAAGCTGGGAAATCAACGGCAACACGTGGCGGGGTGCATGGGGCGAACAGAATGCACAGAACACGTGCACGGCTAGCTGTGCACACAGGCAATACACACAGTACAGAGTGTACGCAGCAGGCAGGATGCGGGGCGAAACTATCGGCTGTGAACTAGTATGGGTTTCATGAGGGGAACTTTCCCCCGGACAGCAAGCACACACTGGCCACGGAATAATGAACTCAGGAGTATTAAAAATATCGGTACATAACTACTCCCCGATGTGAACCAAGCCAGTTACTGGGATCGAGACGCAAGAGGAAAGAACACCGATGAGACTGGAAAACAAAGTGACACGTGACGATCATATGTGTAAGAATGTGCAGATGTATGCACGCAAGCACTCCCACAGATACACAAGCACTCCCACAGATGTATGCACGCAAGCACTCCCACAGATGTATGCACGCAAGCACTCCCACAGATGTATGCACGCAAGCACTCCCACAGATGTATGCACACAAGCACTCCCACAGATGTATGCACACAAGCACTCCCACAGATGTATGCACACAAGCACTCCCACAGATGTATGCACACAAGCACTCCCACATTGCTCGTGAACACTATACAGTGATGAAGCGAGCACATCGCGTACCTCCTCGTCCGACATCATCACCTCTACTGGGATGTGTGCGTCGACAATCAGGAACGTCGGATCAGGCACAGAATCTTGAAGCGTGAATCTTGGCAGGCTTGTTGAGCGTGCCTCGGCAATTCGGAGCACCGCACAGGCACGGGATCTTGTCGTCTTCAAGCGTGAATCTTGGCAGGCTAGTTGAGCGTGCCTCGGCAATTCGGAGCACCGCACAGGCACGGGATCTTGTCGTCTTCAAGCGTGAATCTTGGCAGGCTAGTTGAGCGTGCCTCGGCAATTCGGAGCACCGCACAGGCACGGGATCTTGTCGTCTTCAAGCGTGAATCTTGGCAGGCTAGTTGAGCGTGCCTCGGCAATTCGGAGCACCGCACAGGCACGGGATCTTGTCGTCTTCAAGCGGGAACTTGTAATCATAGGTAATCTCCTGCCCTACCTGGATCTCATGCTTGCTGTAGATGACAATGCGTTTCTCATCTCCCACCGTGATGATCTTAGCGTAACAGTTGGGCTGTGACAGCAACAACAGCAGCAACAGCAACAACAACAGCAACAACAACAACAACAACAGCAACAACAGCAGCAGCAGCAGTAGCAACATGTACACACAGTCATCAAACAAATTCGGTGACATGCTGTAAAGTGCCCAATGCCAGTATTCACGTCGCTACATTTCCACGCCTTCTAAGAATCAGGAAAGCGTTTGCTCCCCACACTGGAGCTCGCGCTTTCCCCCGAAACACACTGTGTTTTGAGCAGGGAGTGGTGCTTTGTTGCGCCTACATACACAGTGCTGACAACTGAAATCCGACCCCTGAGCGGTGCGCTCACATCGCAAAGACCCGGCAAGGGAGTGTAACACTACGAAATAGAGGCCGCTAGAAAGTGAACGCACCTCCCAGCGGGTCGGATTTCAGTTGCCACCGGTTTACCATATTTGCCAGGTGTGTGTTTACCACCGTATTCTACCATATGACATTCTACAGTATTGCTCAATGAAATCCAGTCGCGTCACTCAAGTACGCGCCGGGCGTTGCGCTGCCATAGACCAACGAGCACTAGGCTGCGGAACGATGGAAGGCGCAAACTAACTTGAGCGACGAGACTGGATTTCATCGAGCAAGACTGCACATGTACATGTACGTACAAAACATTTTTATCCAGAAGTCTCTGGATAAATGTAAAATTGCACATCAGAGGCTCCGCTCCATGTAACACTGTAGTGGCCTTACATTTTTACTGCATAAATAACCAGTTTTCAAAGCTTTTTTTTTTTTTTCTTTCGTTCCTACACCATAACACGCATGCTCGGCCTTGTTTTTACTGCATTTTCTGCGTAGTTTGCATTGTATGCCTCTTCGAGTTTTTCCAAAATATCTCCACGATGGACGCTGTTTTGGATTTGCTGCATACCCTGGCGCAGCCAGAGGTACAATCTGCCATCGCGGCATCCGCCCACTCCCGCGGAAAACAAATAGGAGACACCGTTTCGGGGAACGGTATACAAATTTCCTCAAATTCCGCACCCACGGGCGGATTAGAAACTGGTCGTGGCACCACCGCAGCCTCTGGCGGTCAAGAAATGGAGGAGGCTCGGAACTCTTCCAACAGGGAAGGGAACCAGGATGACTCTCGGGTAGACGGCGGGGAGCCTTTTCGTTTTGTCTCATTGGCCGAACGTCGTTCGGCAAGCCTCGGTTTTTCCACGGACCGCCATTCCAGCAATGGCGGCCGGGGCCATATTAGGGGTGACGTCACTGACGTATCCGGGTCACGTGATTTACGTACAGATAGATCTAGATCATGCTCACGGGACAGATCTCCACCCCACTCACGATCTCCCCCTCGTTATCATGGTTATCGTTCTGCTTCATGTGAACGACGTACACGTACTCGCCATAGATCGGCTGGGATGGGCGGGAGGGACTACAGTGTTACATTTCGCTTCACCTCTTCATGCAGTTATGATTATACATCAGAACAGAGTTCCTTGTATAATCGTCAATTGATACAAGCATACATGTATAGTCATGAACGTTGGACTTAGTGCTGAAAATATGACACATCCTATGTGATACTAGGGTGCATGTGCTTTTCTAAAATTGTATATAAATTTCAAATAAACTGTGCGGCTCCTAGTGTATGCCTTCCCACCATTCTGCCTACTGGACAGGGTGCTTCATCGTGTGGCCTCACTCCATACTTGCCGGATGATACTGGTCACACCAGTATGGGATACGCAGCCATGGTACGCGACTTTGCTGCAGCTGTTGGTCGATTTCCCCATGCTTCTGCCCACATTCGACTGCCTGCTACTCTCACCCTCGGGCCATCCACACCCACTGGTACTATCCCGCCACCTGCGCCTCGCCGCATGGCCTATCTCCAGCAGCGCTTCAATGCAGCAGGACTTTCTCCACAGGTCGTGCGACTCCTCTCCTCCTCTTGGCGGTCATCAACCAATGCCGCTTACGCATCGGCATGGGAGCAGTGGCTGGGCTGGTGCAGTCAACGGTCAGTGGATCCCGTTCGCCCATCTTTAGCTATGGTGCTCCAGTTCCTGGCCGATTCCTTTGAGGACGGCCGCAGCTACAGTACCCTGAATGTCTATCGGTCAGCGATGTCTGCTACCCTGCCTGAGCTGGATGGTGCACCCATTGGCCAGCACCCGTTGGTGGTGCGTTTGCTCCGTGGTATCTGCCTAGAGCGTCCGCCGCAGCCGCGGTACTCACATACTTGGGATGTGGGTATTGTCACTTCTTGGCTCTCTAAACTGCCTGCCAACACGGACCTGTCTCTCCCTGTCTTGTCTGGCAAGTTGGCCATTCTGATGGCCTTGACTGCTGCTCGGCGCTCTTCGGACCTCCACCGGCTAAGCCTCAACTCTCATCGTTTCTCTGCCGAGGGCGTGGTGTTTGACTATCTCACACCCCCTAAGCAGCATCGCCCTGGTTCGGAACCAGCCCGACCTGTCACCTTTGCTGCCTTTCCTGTGACTCCTGCACTCTGTGTTGTGGAGTGCTTCAGGGAGTACTTGCGTCGGACCGCCGACCTGCGGCAGGCATCTTCTGCACATCTGTTCCTCAGCACAAAGCGTCCGCACCACCCTGTCACCTCTGCAACGATTGCTCGTTGGATCAAGCAGGTTATGTCCAAGGCTGGTGTGGATACATCATTGTTTGGTGCCCATTCCACTCGTGCCGCTTCTACGTCTGCTGCGAAGCGTAAAGGTATGTCGACAGTGGACATCATGAAATGTGCTGACTGGAGTTGCGCATCCGTGTTCCAGCGCTTCTATTTCAAGCCGTGGGAGGGTGAGACCAGCGACTCTTCCCCATCGGCACATCAGCAGTTCTGCCGCTCCGTGCTTGCGCCGTAGCGCTACCAATGTTGGCCTGGCCAGGTTCTGAGTCTGTGACTTTGTGTCTACCTCAGTAATCCGATTGCTGTCTGTGCCTGGCTTTCTCAATGCCGTTCTATCTGTGTATGTGTATAGTACACGGCTTTCCTCATTTATTCTTCCTTTTGCCATTACGCCTGTGTCCTTGTTCTGGACAGGCCTTTTGTCACTTTCTGCGGCAAGTTTCCGTGGCACCGGTTTACCCTGTTCCTTACTGATTTGGTGGTGTGCATGGTGTGCTGCATGCTCGGTTGGGGGTTTTCATGGCCTGCGTTGGTCCCTCTCTCCGGTCTTGTGGTGTTCGCTTCACCTCTGATTTGAGCGTTGAAATCTACAGTGTTACATGGAGCGGAGCCTCTGATGTGCAATTGACGATTATACAAGGAACTTTGTTCTGATGTATAATCATAATTGCATGAAGAGGTGAAGCGAAATGTAACACTGTAGTCCCTCCCGCCCATCCCATTTACTTATGCACCGGGGAGTGCCCATGGGCTTTATCTTGGCCATTGACGCGTTCAAACAAGGCCGAGGAAGGACTGGCCGAGCATGCGTGTTATGATGTAGGAACGAAAGAAAAAAAAAGCTTTGAAAACTGGTTATTTATGCAGTAAAAATGTAGGGCCACTACAGTGTTACATTTCGCTTCACCTCTTCATGCAATAGACCGATCCCCTTATTATACTGGGTTCGAGCACGGGGGCAACCTCACTCGCGATCGAGCTAGTTTTTGAACGTGACAGCATCTTTGACAGTGTGTTTCAGGTTTGTTTTGGAATGTCTTCTGCTTAGTTCAAGTAGTTTGCGATGGGTTCGAGCGGTGCTAAACCTCCTGCTGGTAGGAGCAGAGTCTCCGAGAGAGACATGGACTGTGATGCCGCTGCAGGATTTTTTCAAGGCGCGGGAGGGAACGATCTCGGGCCACAAACAGGAGTTACTCCAGAGGTGAGTTTTTTTGTTGAAATATTCGAATCGCGAATCGTGTTGTGAGATTTATTTTGTGCATAGGCTACAGCAGACCATATTTCTTTCTCCTTCCGATCGGTGCTGAAGATAATAGTAACCTTTTTCTGGTCTGTCTTTTCCTCTCCAGAGCCATCTTCTATGAAGGTAACCGTGGTGCTGCCAAGTCACCAAGTCGCGATCAGCAGCCCTGAAGTGGAAAAGTCGATTTTCCAACGATCTGGTTGGACATCAGCCACTAAAGTACTTCTGATTTGCCTGTAGTGACAACAGCAGCCATCCTTGGACACCCTGCAAAGACAGGAAAAGCCACTGGTGGAAGGGACTGCTATGAGGTGACGATAGCAGTGCAGTGGTGATCGCTGTTTTGTCAAGTCGAAGGGCTAGCCAACCCAGAGGAAGCATAAAAAAAACGATGAGCAGTGCGTGTTATTTGTTGAGCGTGAAGAGCTGGAGAAGGACAGTGCAAACACATGGACGGAGTGGATGGTGTTTGAAGAACAGTGTGCTGTGTGCCGGCTGGTGGTGATGGTGGTCTTTGTCAGCATGTATTCGTGCTGCTTCTTGTGCTGGAACACTTCTCGCCCAGGAAGGCAGATTGCGTGCTCCCTGGCCCTCAGTTGGCTATGGGGCATTTGTTCCAGGAACATTACCCCAGAGCCAATGATGAGTCGTACCTTTGAAAAGTCGAAGCTTGCTGTTAATCGCAAGCGTAGTGCAGTGGATTGCTCCCTCTTCGAAGCACGAGAGCCAAAGCTTGCCGCTGTCTGCAGCAAAGTGTGTGTGCGGTGCTTTCGAACCTATGAATATACCCCCCCTGCACGTTCAGAGTGAACTATTTTCTAGTATATTTAACATCCTCAACCCGCCACCACCATGCGCTCTTTGCCGAACTTATGCACGAAGCATAAACACACCAGCACAGCAAGGACACTTCCGTTGACAGATATTGTTTACGCCTCTAGACCGCTGTTTCTTTTCTTCGAGCTCATCGTTAGAGGAGGATAGTAGCAGGATACTAATGATGATATAATATCAGATGATAGACGGTTTATGGTCCGATATTGATGATTGAAGATCTAAGAAAGCAATGACAGTGATTGCGAAATGGATAATATTATCATGATTATATGCCAGTCTGGTAATGCGTTGTACTAGTGGACAGTATTGAAATCATCACTGCATTCGATGCAAATATTGGTATACCTTTGGTTTCAGTATTGGAAAAAAAGAGTAAGAGAACCTGGTTGATTTGGTTGCATCTGCGACTGGCTACCGGGTGTTGTGATCAGCAATGTTACCATGGGAGAAAATAAGAGCGCAAGGATCTGTTGGGTCTTGTGCCGGTGCGAGAACCCTAAGTGCATGGCAAAATAGAACTGTTTCATCCACAATGCAGAATGTCTTGCGGTACATGGCATTGAAGACTGAACATCTCGCCAGCTCGCCCAAATGGGGATCATGCCCAAACGGAGGAACAAGACATCTTACCAGCTCAGCTAGCTATATAGTATATACCGTGAAACGGATGATTAACTTGTGCCACGCATGACAGCTTCTGTCCCATTCGGCCCAGGCTTAGACACATCAATGCCAATAGCAGCTGATCCTCCATTACATGCTCATTGGCGATTTACGGCCACCTCCAACTGTATCCGCCGTCCCTCAGCTTCCGTCTTCGCAGATCTGGCTTGGCGCAGTACATTTTCTCGGCTAGGCTCAAAGAAGTCCCACAGAGCGCGGTCCAAACACCTGAAGGCAAACCAGTCAGAAACTGGCGCGGCTCAGAGTCTTTCTTTATGTTATTGTACGTAAGCTGTTTTTCGGCTTTCTTCACCCCATCGTCCAACTGCTCCACGAGACTCTGTACACGAGCTCTACTTGCTGCCAACTACTGATGCAGATTCTGCACTTCCATTACAGGACCAAACTGCACTAAGCCAGGTTCCTTTCCAACTCAAAATGCCGTTGCCTCTCAGCAAAATACTGGTTTGCGAGCATGGGGAGCTCGTGATGCAGACGCTGCACTTCCATGACCGAACTGCACTAGGCTCAGCAAATACTGTTTTTCGAGCATGGGGAGCAGAGCGTCCAGACTCCACTCTCTTGCGAAAAGCAAACCTGGTACCGTAGGACAGCTGTTTGGTTTCCTGGACTCATCCTGCCCTTGTAGAGCTGGGCAAAACGATTTCGACTTCGGGATCGAAATGATCGCTGCATCTCAAATATTCACAGTGACCCTAAAACTACGTCCTTCCTCACGGGGAATAGCCTGGATCCGCTTGCTCCAGGCCGCTGTGGCTCCACACGACGAAAGGAGTGAAATGACTTGTTTGCTTCGTCCTCCTCTTCTGACAGTGAGGAACGCAGCAATGATCCTGAGAAGGCATCCTGAAGTCGTAAAAAGGAAGACGTCTAAACAAAAACAAAACAGCTCAAATCAAAAGTCCTTGTGGCATTTTTTGTAGACAGGCTTGCACTGCGTGTAGATTTCGCGTGCTCTGCACTTCGCATGCGAGAAGTCACGCAAAGCCGAGGTGAGGTTGGTCGCGTGTGTGCAGCAGGATCCCACGCGACTGCGGAGTTGCCCCCTTGCTCGAACCCAGACAATAATAAGGGGTTCGGTCTATTATGATTATACATCAGAACAGAGTTCCTTGTATAATCGTCAAATAACATTGCCAGTGGACAAGACATTCATAACTTGTGCATACACAAGTACTGAATTTGCGGAGAGAACTGTTTCGTGCTTTGTGGACTCATCAGCACAACACACAAGTACGA